TATATATATAAGGACAAAGCTGCACTATAAAACTGCAAAGCAATTACTGTTTGGATGCGCAGCTGCAATGCTTTTAATACTCATCTAGAATGGGGATGGGGTTGAAGTTTCAATGCAATTTTTTTATCTTGTATAGAGCAAGTGCGTGAAATATTACGCTATTGATCTTGTTGTAGTACATACTTACATTATCATACTAATCCGTTCATATCAGTTATTAAGGTCCTATAGTCATCATTAGTAGCAGTAACGAGGCAGTTATGATCATCCATCATAATCTTCCTTTTCAGGGCAAGAAGGGAAAAAAAGGAAAAAAAGATGATACTACTACTGGAGGAAAGTCAACAAAAGGAGATGTACGTCATGGTCATTATCATTAATTTGCATTTTCGCAGAGAGAACCAACTGTAATTGTTATTTAGACTTCTTCTAAAAGTGCCATGAGTGGCACCAGTGCGACTGGCACAAGTGGCACTGTAGGTGGAGGAACTCCTGGTGATGGAGCCACAGGTGATGCAAGCAGTACAGGAACTGCTGCCTGATGAACATGCAATTTTAATAAACTATTTTCTATTGTTTGTATACACAAATGCTGTACAAATGTGTTGGAGGTTCATAAAACAAATATCAAGGATATTAGCACTTCAGCTAACACAGAAGTTGTTGTAGAAGTGTAAAAAATCGAATGTGAGTCAAATTCAATCAATAAATATTCAGATGTGATTAACATAGATTAAACCTACTTCGAATTTTCTGGACCATTCCCTGAATGTGGATTTAGATTACTATATGCCTATATAACAGCGTTTTTAAATCATTATGATCCGCTGATAAACTGTTGAGGTAAGTGGCATAGTAAGTACGATTGAAAGTGATAATACTATAAGCACGTTTGTCGTTAAAAGACCCGAATGCGTCTGTTTTCCTTAAAAATTAAATCGAACAAGTGTATTCTAGGAGAGACCTGTGCCAGCATTATGTTTTGTGGCACGTTTCGTGGTTCGGAGCAATTGCGGATATTCCAAACAAGGACGAGGCTGTTAAATTCTATTGCTGAAAGACCAGTGGTTAAAGTTGGTCTTTGGTTTAATCCTGCCACGGGCTAATCAAACAATGCATAGGCGGTCTGCAATTTAACATCGGACCTGTTCCAGGAGAAAGCTCCTTGCAGTCCACAAAGGCTGGTGACCTATGATCGAGACCTAAAAATTCACTAGGTGAGCTATCCGAAAATTCCAGAGAAAACTGATATCATCAGCGTTCAACGGCATTAATGAATAGGATAAAATCCCGAACTAGCAGTCGATGCCACATTAAAGTCTGAAGACCTTCATGGCCTATAGGTGCAAGAAAGCGAACTGAATGGAAGAAATGGCAAAATCTACACAGTAACAACATATAAGTAAAGAAAATATTATGTTCACACGCTTACATAAAGCAGTTACAAATACCTGCTGGTTGTCGTTCACGTCTCGGTGCTTTCCCATCATGGAGCCAAATATTCATCGATGGATTACTTCTAAGGAACAGCTCTGTATAAACGCGCTACAGCCCCAGAGCTTAACTGAGTTCGTTGCCGAACACGGTGGTGAACACGTTGCTCCCAGGAAAGGACAACAGCGCGTTCGTTCCTCACCGCAGACACCTGCGATCCGGAGTTTTGCAAGTATCTCAGCACCACTGAAGTTACATTTTTACTTACTTTATGACAATAGCTTTCACGGCCACTTATGTCTCAACTATCTCAAAGGCTTTCTTTAAGTCGAAAAAATTGAGACAAGGAACTCTCTTTCCATGTTCAATAATCTTTAACACTTGAATCTGTTCAATGTTTCTTTTTGTGGATATTGTGGATATCGTCTTGCTTGCTGCTTGCTCTTGTTGCCACCCTTCATCAATGTTCTGTTAGTCCTGTTGAGAATGACCTGAATGAAAATACTCTAAACGCTAGAAAGTACTCAGACTGAACAATACTTTCCGATGCCGTTTGAAACCTTCTTCCTGTGCTACTAGAGTCTTATTGGTCTTCTGCTGCTTAGCAACCTTATATTTTAACAGTCAATGTGTGAGGAACAGAGCAAGTGTGTTGACAAAGCTACGTGGAGGTGAAGTCCTCTAGGTGTTTGTCTCCAGATAAGGCGTTGCACGATTCTTAACGAACGGATTATCATGTCGAATTTCAGGAGAAAGGCGCGATTCGACATATTTCTCTTCCTTAACTTCATACGAAAGTAGAAGGAAGTAGTTGCTAAAGAGATCTGAGTAGAAATCGTGGGACATTTTCCCCAGTTTTTTTTTGGAAGCTGTAATTGTTCTATCTGGACATTACGGTGGTATCACCCTAGCCTTTCAAGTGGCGTATTTTCTGCTAGCATTCCAGGTGCTTTTCTCCGCCACTGCAGTCTCAGCTATCACTTTGCTCTTTCCTCCTTAAGACCTTCTTTTAACGCCTTTCTGTAGACCTTGAAAGTTCGGACCTCAATTAGCAGCTCCAGACACAGGTATTTTTTGGTTGCTTTCGAAGCGTCGGCGTTCACGACACTAATGTGAAGATACTGAATAAGTATATCGTATTATTCACCAATATTGGCCATAACGACATCTTCCCAAAAGCGGACTAATGACCAGAAAGAACCCCAGCTCATGTTGGTTTCAGGATTTTGTTTTTTCACTTTCGTGGATTTCCCTGCCAAAAGAGGAAAACTATGCGAAGGAGACGATGGTCTGATCCAAGTCTCCGACTCCTACGTTTAGTGGGGGACTTCTGAAATTCAGAAATACCATGAATGGCCTTAGTTATAATGATAAGGGTGACAGTCATTCGTCATGATCTTTTCTAAACCGATGGCTCTTGTATGGAGTTCTTCCGACCTTCTCCCAACGCCAATTTTATCACTGAATTAGTCAGTTATGTTTTCACAGATTCCAAGGTATCTTAACTTCAGAATCTCTCTAAGCCCTCATCGAACGTCTTCACTGCGTGTTCTTCATCCTTTCATGATTATGGCGGCGGCATCTTCTCGTCTCAGCTAGTGAGAACCAGATGTCACACCTAGCCCTCATTGCTTGCATTATCAAATCCTCAATGAAGAATTCACATTCCAGCTAGCGTACGTTACAAGTAGAAATGGTCAATTTAGCCCTTACTGATTTAAGTAATCTATAATGACCCTAACCTTCCAAAAGCTTACTGCAACATCGTGGTTGGGAAGTGTTCCTAGGTGTCAGACTGCGAAGTAAAGTTGGGGTTTACGCTTAACAAAGGTCTCCCAAACTTAGAAGGAATCCGACGTTGCATTTAGACGTCCAGCTAGAAGTAAACCAATACCAAGAATCACCGCTGTCCTGGTAAAAAATGGTGGCATTGTTACAAACCTTCCACCGATCCACAACGGTTGGCGCCCACCTGTGGTGGTGGCGACCTCAAGTAACCTTCGGCAAGACTGACCTCAGGACTCCAAAGAACCACAATGGCTCCAACATCAAAAACTCAGTTCCAGTACCATGCAAAATGAGCGCTGTTGTCTACGACGTCCAACCGTGAGACAAACGGTGAGAGGCGAGTAAATCTCGGGTAGCACAGGACCACTGGAAACAAACCAAACACTCATGCTCACAACACGTCGTGGACATTGCACCTTGCTGCACACCTATAATACAAGGGTCGTCTCCTGGGACACCGAATCTTATGCTCTTCACCCCCGGAAAGGGTAATAGCACGTTTGTTCCTCACCGCAGACACCTGCGGTCCAGAGTTTTGCAAATATTTCAGCATCGTTGTGATTATACTCTTCTTCAGGGCACTGGTCCCATCAAATTCCATGTGATCGCTCTACAAGGGACGAAAAGCAAGAAAACCGACATGCCTCTATTAAATGATGGGACTCTTGTCATTCGTGAACTGAAATTTTCTCTACGAAATGTCGGAGACGTTGGCCTTGTCGTACACTCATATATTCTCATCTGGTCACCTTATGCAGAGTCCTATCAACGCGCTTAACCACTTTTGTCTCCAAGTTGCGCGTCAAAAGGAAGTCGGTGTCATCAACTGTTACTCAGCAATTTGTACAGCTGATGAGAGCGAAGTGAACGCTTCTACAGCCAGTTATGAAAACTAATTCAGAACAAGAAGTCCTCTAACTTCGCTGTTGGAGAATCCAACGCCATATTAGGAACTGTAACAAAAAGAAAACAGGATAGAGAAATTTCAAAAGGACGAAATACGAGTGGAAAGTCTTGCAGGACTGCTTTCCACAATTGGTTTCTTCCATGAAAATCCATTTTTCGAGAAGAGAGAAAACCAATGATGGACATGGTAATCCCAGCTTTTTATTTGCTGCCTACAACAATTTTTCACCGCAGGGTATTATGTGGGATACAACGTGGTAATCTCCCAACAACACGACTCATGCGCAGATCTACGATACTTTCGCGAACGGGAAATGGTGCCTTTGACACCTCGGTTGCAGTTGGATTCTCTAATAAATCTGATCATCACCTTCTCCTTGCGAAGATTCGATTCAGTCATAATTTGGAAAATAACTATTATCATCGTTCAAGAAATCGAAACAAGTTGTGCATCACGAGGGTGTTTCCAATAAAATCCTCTCATATGAGTGGCAGACAAAAACAGACCCGACCGAGGACGACAAGCTGCTTGTCGAAGGACTTAAAACTTGCATTCGAACTTGCTTCAGTTCTTCAAAGAAGAGTTTAGATCGCTCATCTCCATCATCACTTAGGAGTTGTCCGAAAAGAGGACAGTGAAGCTTGGTCCTCCTGAACACACCTATCACAGCCGGTAATAAATGTCAGCTGCAGAAGATATTTCCAGAAGCATCTACTTCGATATTGGCAGAAAAAATTTATTGGGAGTAGCTCAAAAGCGACCCGCTCTGAAGAAGTGCTGTCGCGAAATCATTGCGACAATAATTTTCCACTAACAGCCCTGATGAACAAGGACAGGTCTATTACCACATTCTGCCATGATGTGGAATTGATAATAGACAATTTCCGTATCAAACCTTTCCGTTCCAAGAACCTGGTCTCAGATTCCTAAATACCCGCTGGAGAAAAACTACCACGGATTCTACCCTCTGCTGTTCCATTTGCGGTAGAAAGCACGAATAAGCACACCGCCATCCAGGACGCGGTAATATCACACCCGGTTTCCCTCTAGCTAGAGGCCAGAAGTTAAACGTACTTCTCGTAACCCATATGACATCTCACCTTTAGGAGGAGAAAATCACATACCAATGGAGGGCGTCGCGAACTGTCATCCTGCCCGAGAAAGGTGACCGAAGGGATCTTCATAACTATCGTCCGATATGGCTGTTGAGGCTCTACAAGGTATTCACGAAGATTACCCTTTTTCGCCTATCGGGGACCTTAATGAGAAAGTCAATTGAGCAAGCAGGATTCCGACAAGGATTCTGCTGCATGTATCACGGAACCATATCAGTGGTTACAGGTGTCGGGAAGTCCACATGCTCATAGACCTGAGTATTGTCGACTATGAAAAAGCGTTTGCTAGTGCCGAAACGAAATCAGTTCTATCAGCGCTTGTCGACGAATGAGTGAGCTCTCCTATATACAAACAAAGAGCTGACTGTTATCACTATTGAAGCACAAATATACAGCTTTTTCATCGATCCTTCACCATGCTTAGAGGGATAGGTGTTCGAAAGGGCGACACAATCTCGCAAAACCTTAATAACTCAAAAGACTGACTTTCCATAAAAGGTGTAAATAGTCGATATATGTATATTCGCTCTTATGAATCGCCTTTAATGAGCTAACACCGGGTTGGTACAAGTCGTCGTTGTTGTTCTTTGCTGAGGTTCGATGGCTGACATTCCGGCGCCATCGCTTTCTTCAAAGCATGGGCGTATCTTATGTTATGATATCCATATAGTTGGGTGAAATATCTATAGTACCAATGGAGGCCTAACATATACATATAACCTGAATATACAATATATGTACTACATACACATGTATAACGTGTATATAACGCATATATACATATAACGTCATGCATGTTTATCTCATGACCCTGATATATATAGTCCTTTGGGTGTACTCATTCCGTTTGGCACGAATGGGGTATGGGAAACAAATTCATTCCTCACGCACACCATTTTCGAAAGAATTAGTTGAAGAAAATTTTCTTCACAAGCGCTTTCAAAGTCGGCAAACAGTTGTTCCGCCTCGCCAATGCTTCTTGTTACAAGAACGCAGTCCTCAGCAAAGCAAAGATGGTGTAATTACTGATCATCGAATTCCATTCTCATGTTGTTCCATTCCAATGTTCGCATGACGTTCTGGAGTGCTGCAGTAGAGAACTTTGGCGAGATGGTTTCGCACATTTCGGTGAGAAATCTTGGACGAAAGGTAATGGTCCGATCCTTAGTAGAATTTTGGAATAACGACATTGGTCAGGCAAAATCTTCGATTTATTATGATGTTGTTTATTTCGCTTTAGAGCTCCTCAATGGGCTGCCACGTCCATAGTTGACTGTGTTTCTGAATTGTGAAATACCATGATCTTTACCATGCTCTTGGTAGTTATTATAAGCTCAGTCGCTCACTCTGCTCGTTCCACTCTAACCCACCGAGACCAACATGGTGTTCTTCAGACGGTCTTCTGAGTTCAATCTTAGCGTCAAAAGCTCTAATGATGACCTTGAAGAATGTATGGCTTTCACTGCAGAACTTCTCTAAGTCCATACAGAATCCTTCCACTTCGTCTTCGTAGTAGCTCGATGTCGGTGCGTAGACAACGAAGATTGTCAAAGCATTAATGCACACTTCTTTAACCACGAACGTCCGATTCTGGTTGTTAGCAATTAAAAAGAATCTATTCCCATGGCCAAAATCGTATCGACACAAACACCGAAGCAGTCGCCTCCTTCACTGTCGTTTTGAACGCGAGCTCTGGATATTCTCAGTGTTAAATTACCAGTCTCCCACAGACTGGACGCGCTTGTTTGTTGGAGGCGACTCCTAACCGCCCCCTATATGCTTCTCTGTCACTTGACTGCTTTGGCCGACGTTTCTCGTAGAATACAATCCGCATGAACGAGAAACCATCCACTGACGTATCCATGAATGCACTTAGTAAATACTGAAAGTTTGTACCAAATCAGCACAGCAGAAACAAGGAGACCATCCTCTATACTGACCAGCGTCTCAGCTAAGCCTAAGGTCGCTATTGATCCGCGATTAAGCCCCTATCCGCCAATTCGGACGCATCACGTAGCCTCGCGACTAACCGGCTCAAGATCACTCTATGAGGGAATGGAGATATAACCCATACAACCGAAAAAAAATACAAGAACAAGAGCCACCTGTAGCTAGAATCTCTATCTAATGAATAACTCATAGACCAAACGTATTACGAGATTGCCTGATGAGCGCAGACGGCGTAGGAGATTCCCGCCTTTTCCACCAGGGTAGGCGGCGACGCGTTCGCGACGCGGTTGTTGTCGCTGTAGCACCTTGGTGTTCTTGATGTTTGTTCTGTCAGTACTGGTTATTGTTTTCTGATGTACTCGTATCCATAGAGTGGTGGTGTTGATCTGACATATCGAAGGTTTTGATCTCTATGTGAACTCTTATCCTGATTATTGATCGAAATAAATTGCTTCACCTCCATAGCATATTGTGACCCCGTATTTCCCTGTTTTAGCTTTACAAGTTAGCTACAAATGGATCTTCGATGCAGTGTTCAGACTCTATACTTGTTTTTTAGTCCTTGGAGTAGTTTTTTTATCCTGGTGAACTCTTGGTTTTCATTTCTAATTAATGAAATCGCATTGCGATTGCGAACCACTCTGAACAGAGGAATATCCGCTTCTTTAATAGGAGTGAACTATAAACTGGACATATTGGAAGATGTTATTTCATATTTCCCCTCCTGAAGTTGACTGACGGAGAGTAATTAATGGACTTTTCTACTTTTTTGCAAATTGTTAATTTTCCATGAAAGGATTGGTATTTTTGGAAGGTTTGAAAAGGATTGAGCCAAACCTGAACGATTTCTTGAAGTCAAAGCTGGCGCTTCGACAAATTAGTTTTCTTTCTTAGTTCTCTCTATGCCAAAAGGTATCCAAACTAGAAATATTCGCCTACGACGATCCACTGTACAATTGCATGTCGTGTAAAATAGCGTCCGTTGGGGGAAAACGTAAGTGTTCGAATGCGTTCCAATCCTTCGCTTTCCATTTCTAGAAACACATTTGAGGACTGTGTACCTTTTCTGGACTCGAGGGAACACAAACTCACAGAATGTTTCTCCTTATTCTTGTTTTGCGCGGGACTTGTTCATCTCCAACGAAATGATAGGCGTTGCGATTGTCGTTTGTAGAATGCGGTTTCCTTTTATACGCAGATTATTGGGTAACTCTCTTACTCACGTTCTCTCTGCCTGAAGTTCCTTTTTTCAAACTCGGATAAGATCTCGTTGTGCTCTCGGATTATCTCTTCACTATGTGCAGTGACACTAGGCGATGTCGGCGCGGAACGCTATGGCTGCGATGCTCGACGAGCTTATGGGACCAAAAAGAAACGTCGAACTGGGGAAGGACACCACAGTAACGTTTGATGTAAGCTATGGAAAAGTAATTTGGTTGTTACTATAATCCCTAAATGAAGCTGATCATTTACGAGGCAGGGGAAGTTACCAATTATAAGTTGATATCGTAGCATTTCTGTTTTTTAAAGTTTAGTTTAGTTTACTTTTACTATATATGCGAAGTTTTGTCATCACGGGAATTTCAGGGAAATCACTTTGTTAACATCATTGTTAAGTCGATCGATTTCTGTTCAATATAGTAATTGCTACTGTTTCAGGATCCCGATATATGCAAATACTACATAGTTGGTTTTTGCCCACATGACATGTTTGTCAACACCAAGGCTGATTTAGGTTTGTTGGAGCTTATCTTGTATATAAGAGCTTGAGCGGTGCAGTATGTAATACGCGAGATCTCGGAAAGGGTATTCGTGGTTCGATCTGACCCGGAGGTGGAGTTTTGCGAGTATCTGAACATCGTCGTGGTTGTATCTTGTATGTACCTATACAAAACTTTTCCTAGCCTCTGTATTTCGACATCTTATCAGTGTTCTTTTGTATTCACCTTAGTTCCAATTTCATATTGATAGATTAGTGCTTATCAAATGATGATCTTTTTTACATTAGCTGATATGTTATATTGCACTGATAGTTTTAACCTACAATTTTTACGAATTCGAATGTTTTTACAAAGGTAGTGTTAGAATTCCTCTCAACGGTTTACCGCCTCCTCATCGTGGCTTGGAGGTGTTCATGGGTGTCGGGCTGCGATGTACAGCGGGCGGACTCATCTCTCTGGCAGCGCCTCCCAACCTAAGAGCTTCGGCGCTTCTATCAGGAAGTCCAGCTGGGAGTAAACAAATATCGGAATTCATATCCATCATGGCTTCAAATTAGTCGCATGGCGGCAAATCTCCTGATCTGCAGAGACAGCTGCTCCCTGTGGAGGTGCCGACCTTGGGCAGACTTTGGCTAGGTTGACTTTAGCACTCCAGCGAACTACAATGACTAAACCAGCAAAACTCCAAGAAAAAAAGAGAGTTATGCTGGGGCCCACGCAACTATACAGGTTTCTCTTGGTTGTTTTTGTGTTGGATCAAATATTTTAGTCTAACTTAAGTTTTACTTACTACTTACTTATTACTTATCCTTGTTATTCTGTATTTAGGTGCTTGTCCACGGGTACACGATGATAATCTACGTTTGGAGTATCCGAAAAGTGATAAATTTGAGAAGCTAGGATTCGAAAGAGAGTTTCTTAAGTTTTTATCACGTTTGGACGAGGATAATCAGAGGAGAATTCGAAAGAATCTTGAGAAACTCAAAACTAATGAGGAAAACGGCCAAGTACATTTTTAATGCATTGCTAAATAAACAATAAATGTCTGCATTAAAGTGGATTTAATTTACGACTTATAGAAAAAAGAGGATATGAGGAAACTTCGAGAGGAGCAAGAGATGGCACGTCTTGATGGGGAAATAAAAAAGTGTATGGCAGACGCAGAAAAGGTATCTTTTAGGCGCATTGTCTTATCTTGTGGTTCTGTATAGACTTTTACATTTTTTCTAAAGTTTCTCTTTTTTTTAAAGTTTTTATAAACTTTGGTACTTTTTTTTGAAGCCGTGAGCAACCTTATTTAGGCCGGTGAGGAAGGTTTGGTTGCCAAATGTCAGGAGCTTGTAGATAAAGCTGAGCAATTGGAGAAACAAAAAGCATCCATTGTGGAGGTAAGAAAGCACCCGCCCTTCGTAGAGTGTCGTGTTTCTCGCAGAACCGGAATGTAGTAATATGTTGTGTAGAGTTTTAACAAAACACTGTTTACTGACGTCGTTTTAGTTCTTTCCATTCGTTTCAGAGGTTAAATAGCAATCTTCCTCCAACAGCTCCAATTGATGAGTCGGCCATTAAAATTATGGAGGTTTGGATTAAATTACACACGTTTAGCCAGTAATTAAGTGCAAATATATCTAGGTTTGTGAAGTTTGCGGATCAATGCTCATAAAGAATGATGCACAATGCCGTGTAGAAGAACATCTAAGCGGCAAAATGCATATGGGATTCTCAAAAATAAAAGTTACCATTGAAGAACTTCGGGTACGTTCTTCACCATTTCCATGTGTTTTTATATGAGATCCTTTTAGCATAGTTTGTTTTAAAGGAATCGTTGTTCTTTATGACTTTTTTCTTCTTTAGGAGCGTATTCGCAAGCGTGATGAGGAGAATGAAAAGGAACGCCAGAGAGCTCGTGAAGAACGTGAGAAACGGTAGGTTCAGTGATGCCATACTAAGACATTGTTGAGCAAGTTGCTAGGAAATAAAAAGGATAAAGTTATCGGGTTGACCAATCCCTGATGGATGCGTCATGTATTTGATTTCATTAAGCATCGTTGGAGGTGATTGAATGCATATCTGGGCTTTAGAATGACTCGCTGTGGCGAGCCAGCACTGCTATCCTGATAGAGAGGTCTTGTACCGATGTGCCGACCCCGGACAGTGGAAGGTTTAGTGGGTCAAGAATTCGGGGGTTGATCCCATGTGTATTGCAGGGTCCCTCCGAGCGCTGCGCCACAGGCGCCCTTGGGCCATTTGATAGTACCGGAAAATCAAGACGTAGTGGTGAATCGTTTGATATTAAGAAATGCGTGGTGTGGTGTAAATCAAAGCTTAGTGCAAGATATGACCTGCCAGGTGTGGTGCATGAAAAGCTATTCTCGACGGTTAATAGTGTATAAAACTACCGGAAGGTTTTTTCAATGTACACCATTCGCGGTTGTAGTTGAACATATTTCCAAGCGAGCGAGGCAAAATTTTATCAGCGTACATTTTAAGAACCTTTTTTAATATTTAATTGGAAGGCAGTTACGAAGTGAAATTTGGAATTCTTAGTAGTCTTAATACGAAGCTGAAGTTTTTATCAAAAAGCTCTCAGTGTTATGACAATGTTATCAACATCTGTGTGTAGAAATTGGGAATGAAGATCAGATTTTTCCCACGACCGACTTTTTTTAAAAACTAACCTTTGCATTTCAAACAATTCTTTACATCGTTGAGGAAACACGAGGTGTCAGCTTATTTATTTATTTACTAACAAGCTGAGTTTCGGCTTATTTCGCCCTTCTTAGAGCCGCTTTCTATGAGTTTTCCACCGAATATGCGGAATAATTAACTGGAAGACTCATAGAAAGCGGCTCAGAGGAGGGCGAAATCCGCCGGGACGTCGGCTTCTTCATAAATAAAAAAATGTATACATTTAATAATAAAAATAAAAATTTAATTGATATACATTTAATACCAAGTTTTCTGATGTGCGCATTCCGGCATTGATCCAGCGGTTGTCCAGTTTGCAAATTCACTTTCTCAACCACGTTGGATTCTTGTTCACTTGATATCTCTTCAAAATTCTGATTGATTAGGTCTTATTGGTGGATTTTCCAGTGAACGTGACAGAAGGCGGTCACGCGACCGGGACAGATCTCGTGATCGAGATCGACGCACTTCACGAAGGTAATTTACTGCAGTTTTTTGAGTTTGCAATTTTTCCTCGCTACATTAAGTCTAGCATTCATTGCGTTGCAGGTCACGATCGCGTTCACGGGATCGCGAGCGTCGTCGCAGTCGCTCTCGTGATCGCCACCGCCGTGACGATCGTGAACGACGGAACAGAGACAGAGATGATCGCGATCGACGACATCGTCGATAAATTATGCTCGCATCGCTGCTAGATGAGGTGCGCGCGAGGATCTATTTGTCCCGCGTTTTCCTTCACGCATCTTGTGTGACAATAATACGGTTCTCATATTTATCGCCGCGTCTGTCGCATCTCGTAGTTTTTTTTTATTTTGTGTATTCATATGATACGTACACAATCTGAATCAGTAAACGTACGTCGCCAGTCTTAGGTTTCTTGCGAATTCATTAAGCAAGTATTCTGCAATTTTTCAATTCTCCTTGTGCATCATTGCACTCAGATACGGCCGTAAGCACTGCTTTCCGAATCCGTGAACCCAGTCCTCCTCCGTACTTGGTGATGTTGTGTCCGTTCAGGTACAAAAAGACTTATTTTCATCTTTAAAAGTTTGTTATATTTGTTTGTACATGTTTTCTGTCACATATAAATACCGCGTAATGGCGCTGATCCTGGCATTAACGAGACAAGAGAGCGACGACGGTGCGGGCATCTGCTTATGCGCGCCGCGCTCCATCAACATCTTAGCTTGTGGCAGGTGCGCTTTTCTCTCAATGAGGGAGTCTGTTCAGTAATTCTGGAACATGTTTGTAATGAAGGAGTTCGTTTGATTATTTTGAACCGATGCCTAAATAAAGATAATGAATACTGTGCTCGTTTCATTTTTATTCAGAGCGTTGCTTGATAGCGTCAAGATTCCGATAAGGGTTTGTGAAATGCAAGCTGTAACGTTTAGCTGTTTTCCAATACAGGTAAGATAGGATTTTATGCTTGTATTTAGGAGACACGAGGTTCTTCTCGGCTTGGCCACTTTTGTTGTGTACTAATTTATCCACTGGACGTAACTGCACACCTATTCCTACTCTGGTATTGCAAGAGTTGCCGATCGGCCTACAATACAGTTCAGAGTGGTCTTATCTGCTGAGTTTTTCCTGTCCTTGCGTTTTTATACCTTTTTCATGCATCCAAATGTAGAATGCGAAACCAAATCGCACATCTGCCCTAATATGTGATGTTAAAATTAGACGTAGACATACCCTGTTGGTGTTTCGCTCTTCTGCCTTCGACTATGACTTAGAAGTACTTCCATTGCCTCTCATGAACTATCCGTATACAGGCCAGTGTTAATCTTTTTCATCGTCTATAAGATGTCTTAATATAATTAAAAACGACGAAGGGCTTTCCTATGTTGGTAAATAAACCAAGCAACCGTCTTGACGATCATTTCAAGATCTAGCTTGTAATATTTGATTTCACAAGTCATAATCTGGATGTTCTGTTAGTCTTTAAGACTAGTCCACTCGGGTTTGATTTTTTCTTTGACTGTGGGTAGAAGAAAGTAAGTTTTGTACTTAAGGTCAGTTACTGATTTTTAACTATGTTCAGTTAACCACAGTGAAAATTTTGAAAAATTTGCAAAACTCGGCAGGTGGCTGCGGTGGGGATCGAACACGCTATAACCCTTTTCGGGGCCAAGGTGTTAACCACAACACTTTTCGTTTCGCCTTTCAGTCAGCTAGTTCTCTGTCTAGTCGATATATTCATATTCAGTTAGTTGTTTGTTTGTTTTCGTCGATGTATAATCTGGAGTGAAGATTCACTCTTTTGTTACTGAGTACTGTCATTTGTTAATCCATAATTGGTCAATTTGAGATCCAGTGCGGTCATTTGTGGTGGCTAACTGTGAAATACTTGAATTAGTACCATTCAGATCATCGAGTATTATTCTCTGTGAAGTTATATGTATAGGTACTACGTTGTCAGTGTGCACACCACTCGTTACTTTAAGAAATGTTCTCTGAATTAAAATACAGAAACTACCGTTTGACCTTTCAGTGGTGACTCTTCTGCAGCTAGAGTTTCGTCGATTCTTCAATGTGTTTTAGATTCGGGGTAATATTGTGTATTGCATCGACTACCTGTCAGGAAGTCTTACTGTTTACCTGAGTTTCTTTAAGCAGATGCTCCTAGCGTTTTCTTTGTCTCGATTTTCTTTTCTCGATCTAGATTGTTCGTGTGGTTTCATGGTTCTCATTTCTTTTGGCTCTGACTTTTACGAGTTGTTTTTGAAATATTTGTTTTTAAGTGTTAATCGGTTGCTTTTATTCAGAAATCTAATGCACTATGGTGGTTATGTTCATCGAATCCTGGGTACCATTCATATTCTCGCCTCAACATCGATTGCTTCATGCGTCATTCTTTTTTTTCTTCGTCCCATACCTCTACAGGTTTGATACTGTACATTTGTTCGGAGAGCACTGGTATTAAAATCTATATAATATGCTTACTCTAGTGGGACTTATGTGTTCATTACGTGGCATGAGTAAAACCACAGGGTGCGCGTAGCGCAGTTGTCGGGACCACCATGCAGTACACATGGGATCGATCCCGTGCCGAGGGCTCACCAAACTTTCCATCTCTCCGGTGTCGGTAAATTGGTACCAGACTTATCTAGGAGGATAGCAGCATTAGCTCAATACATCAGTAGGCCACCGCGAATCATTGCTTAGGCCAGGTATGCATTAAATCACCACCGATACTGAAATCGATTGCATGGCGCATCCCTCAGGGATCGATCAACGCAAAGAGCTTTATCCGTTTTTATGAGTAGAACCGATTCTGACCCGACAGTGCATTGTTTTTCTTCATAATGTAGTTAATGCATAGCATATATGTTGGTTTGTGTGATACAAGAAAATATGACTTTATAGCAACTCTTATAATTCACTTATTATTAAGTTAGTCTAGTCCTAGGAAAGGAAAACGTAGTGAGAGGACTACACTTGCCTTGTGTTGAGATAAGATAACAGGGGATTGCTTAATAATCCTAATGAACCAGACTGAAGGTAACTAAAAATCAAAGCAAGTTTCTCCTATGTTGGAAAGCACACGAGGTTAAGACTTTCTTGTGGCATATTGTAAATTACCTGCTTGATCATACAGCACACGTGAACGAGCTGTCTTAACTAGCAATGCGAATTTCAGCATAGTTTCGTCTTTTTTCTCGTTGACCGTTGTGTTGGTTTCCATATTCGAGTGTGGCGACAAGTTCGAGTATCGTCTCAAAACCGTCTTCAACTGCGAATGAAACTCTCTTTAGCTGGTTACGAACGCATTCACACTTCTTTTGAGTTGTTTGCTAGAGTACGCCTGCATTCTCTCCTGGTCGCTTTTTTACTGTTCTTTGTTGTTGACTTCACCTTGTCGGATCACACTACAGACCCATATGTGTTTTGGTTTCGAAATCTATTCACTTCGATATCTTCTGGATATTTTCTTTGCATTTATTTTCTTCTCTGGGAAGACATTATTCAAGCGCTTTGTTAGCTTAGCGTGGAATCAGTGTGGTTGAAGTATCAACTCTCACGTCTCAGCAGATAAGCTTACTCTTGGGAGGACCGTTAAGTGAGAACGTGAGTTCGGAGTTTTGTTTTTATGAGGTTGGTCGGTGGTTCTGTGAGAGAACCATATGTGGCCTCTGCTGTTCAACTTCATGAACACAGTTCTTTGTTCATGTCGTTTTCCATGTCCCGCAGCGCCGTAGATATATGTATAGTGTGGTCTCTAGAACCAAGGAACCGCCTGTTTCTATTTGTTACGCATTGCACCGTTATTGTTTTATGAACCTAGTTTTCACGTCAATTGTCTCTACTTTCTCTCAGCCGGTCCCCACCGCAGGCACCAGTGGTCCGTAGTTTTGCAAATATCTGAGCATCATTATGTCTATACCTTGTTGTTGCTCAAAAGAGATGACGATATCATCGGCTGAGATGTTTTTCGCGCAAGAGCAGGAAGACTCCAATCGAACCACTTGTTTAACACTTCCGCGACGGTTCCAACTCCGTAGATTCACAAAATATTGGGTCATTGCGACCAGTATTACGTCAATATAGATGATTTTGTTGTTATTTTTGGACATGGTGAAACACGGAATTCCTTCTTTTGCTTCTTCATTATCGTGGTAAACACTCCATCTAGATTCCTTTTAAGTAGCAGTTTAGCAAATTCCATGGTCAGTTCATTGCCTTCTTGGATTGTCAAGCTGGCACGAGGTTGATGAAGGTATTTGTTCGATTTTCACAGTCGTTCGTCTTCTCGACATGATGTCTTCGTCGTCACATTGAGTCAGATCTTCTTTAGTGGAGCACCGCTCGAAAAGGAGGAAGATAGGAAAAATTAGTGTCATTGTTCTATGCTATTTGTATGAATTTGGTAAATCAAATAATTAAAGATGTTTCGTGGAGTTTTGATCCAGTGTAGTGTATGAATGTCTATTTCAGCTACTTTCATGAACAACACCAAATGAAATCGTACTCGGTCGAGCGTGCAATGTCATTAGCGTGGGATCGAGCAATAACAAAGCCTGGAATACCTTTTAGGCGAGCTGTTGTAGGGTAAGACTTTTCTTCCCTTAACAGTAGCGTGTGGTAAATTTCTTATTATGGTCTGATTTGTCATCCAAGTTCATAGGTATTATTGAGACTCACGTGGTTCGAAGATAGGGCATTTCTTTGAAATAGGGACCTTATATTTCTGACATGGAATAGAGCGTGGTTTACTCCAGTTACGAAGAGCATGATTAATTATTTTTATAAACTCTGGCTGGATGAAATACCTTGTGTTCGCCGAGGCAAACTGTAGCATAGGTTCTTTCTTAGCGTTTGGTTGAAAGTGCTAGACTCTTTATCAGCTTGAGTTCCTTCTTTGGTGATAAACCCGATTGTAGATCTAAGTTTAGTACCCATATACTACACTAGCCGCAATAAAAGCACTCAGGAAGTCCAAGTGGTGGGGCTTGAACAATGAATTCATTTAGGTTAAGTAATCTAACATATAACTTCTGCAAACTCATCCAAGGTAATTACTGTGAATCACTTCTTTTCATATACTTATTAGTCACACCATACCAATGTAGCGTGTTTAATTATAGGTTCAACTGTAACGTAGACGTAATTGTATCAGGTACTCAGATCATTGAAAGTCTTAATACTACTATTGAAAAAGGAAAGGACCATAAGAGCCTGGAATCGTTGGATGATCTACATGAGACATTTGTCCATTTCTTCCAACGTGGCGCACCAGCAGAAAGGTATGGTTCCATTCAAATAACATCTCTAATGAACACAACATTTCGATCGCAAGATTGCAAATCTATGTATCGGCTTCGTCTTTGCTCAAAATTTCTTAGGCTAGTTAAGAGGATGGCTGAGACGATTAAGATCGTTGATACAATTAATAATTGAAGAAGTTTATTCGTATTTGTGAGAACAACGATGCCGCTGTTGCTTTTTGAATCGTTGGTGATTTTTAAAAATGAAATTTCAAACTGCAAATTTCGCTTTATTTCATTTTGTTAATACATTCTTCACGATGTTAATGTTTCGAAATCTGCAGTAAGTTTTTCAATAATTAGACTACTTGAACACCTGTGGACTTGGCAACCGCATGATGGAGACTGTTGCTCTAAGGAGAAATAATTTTTCTGAGAACTCTTCCTATTTTTACGTCTTTTTGTATAAGGTGAGCATCAACAGGCATAATCGATTTGTTACGGGCATTGTTGTATCCTATGGCACAAAATCATGGCTATGCAAGTGTTTCTTTGTTTAAAGACGAGTTCAGACAGAAATATTGAAGAAGAAGAAGAATTTTTCATGGACTCCAAAACATCGAATTTTTTACGAAGGACTCTTGTCGGTAGAAGTTTAAAGACTGTTGTGGCTTAACTCTTTTATTTACTGCCTTTTTCTTTTTTATGGCAGGGTATGTTGCGAAATATAACACGTATATAATGCTGAGATATTTGCAAAACTCCGGACCGCAGGTGTATGCGGCGGGGAACGAACGCGCGCTATTGTCCTTTCTGGGGAGTAGCGCACTTCACCATACCATCCGGGTCCTTCGTTTTGCCTGTCCCTCAGCTAGTTCTATTGATTTTTTGCCATCAGCAATCACCCGTCAACGGGATTGATCTGGGGAGCCCAAATCGGCAATGAAGCCAGTTAAGCTGGGGTTTAGTTATAAACACAATCTGGTTTTATTTTCACTTACCAACTTTTACTAGCTGAGATGTGCAGATTTAAAGTTATGAGAGACTGTTGCTTTTTCTCTTTTGGTCAGGAATACCTTGATTTCTGTAAAGTTCGTCGTCAATGTGTTATACTTGCTATCGTTGCATTCATTTATGCTCAGTTGGAGTGTTTTTATCTAAAACTGGGAGAGGAGGAAATTTGAACGGTACGAATCATCACTGAGAGTTCAATTCGCAGAAATCATTGCATCAATGTTGCTGTGATCGTTAACGATGGTCTTTTGCCACGTTACCTCCAAAAGTTTCATAGTGGAAGTCAGACCCTTGAAGCTGAGAGTGCGGGGTGTCATCCTTCATCGTTGGTGATAATCTAGAAGCTCCAGCTGATGCAGTAGCGCGTGTAATTTTATGGCCTGACTTGCTGTGTCATCCACATTGTTTTTGGTTCAAATGCGCCTAGGTGAGACCGCAGTTCCTTCAAAGTCGGTAGGTTGGTGTATCTTATGGGGTTTTAATGCTCTTTATTTCCACAGTGATGCTGGGATATTTGAAGAGGTGTCTGCGGTGGGGAACGAACGGGTCATTACCCTTTCAGGGGGCTAACGCGTTCACCACCACACCATGCGGGTGTTGCGTTTCGCTTTTCTCTCAAATATTTTTCTCTCTACAAGTGCCATCAGCAATCACTCGTCAGCGGGATTGATCTGGGACGCCTTAATTTTTATTTCATTTATCAAAGTTCAGTACGAGTTGGAATTCTCGCATATTATGCTGGAAATTCAAAACCTTTTTTTTTTGGAGAACCTAGTAGCGTTATTTATAAGACGTATATAGGTGTGTTGACTTTTTTCAGTGGAATGTATTGCAGATTCAGAGAATTTAGTGTATTTTATTCCGTAACTGTGTTTTTATAGGCATTTCTATATTTAAACGTAGTTATGTAAATTTCTAGGTATATGTCCTCAGAAAGCACTTTTGAAACTGTTGTCCGACAAGTAGAGGGCGCAATCCCTCGAGCACAATACCATATCGGTGGAAATGCAGCTCTTATGGCAGAGAGAATAGCGTCTGGATTCCCAAGTACAGAGGTATATTAGTGGAAGCACTGAGACATTTAGGAGCTTAACTAATGCAAAACGTTGGCTTGAATCGATCCCTAAACAACGTTTTTTTTGTCTTGGTTTTATAAGACATTAATTAACATACGTCTAGGTGTGAACATTCTATGGTTACATTTTCATAAAATTTCAGGTGTATTTAGTTGGTCCTATTGGTCCTAGAAGTCAAGCGCTACTAAATCCTTCCGTCAGGCGAACAAATGCTACTCGAATAGTTAAAGTGAATGTTTGGTTAGATGGATTTCTGTCCAAGACCACGATATAGAATGCAATGTAATTTCTTGTGCTCCACTTATTTAAGGATGAACTTCACGTAATCCTCGAGTACAAACAAGGTGAGACGTTGGGCGACTGGATTGCTCCTAGTAGTAGTCGATTCATAACAAGCCATGACCACTTCAGGTGCTAAGTCGTTCTGTCTTTTTTTTTTAAATTGGAGTTTGTTATGCCACTGTTACATGTTACCCTTGTTAGAGGTCTACTTAATGCTTCTTTTCTCATTTTTACTCCTTGCTTGGATACTTGGATGGCCCATTTTCATTGGTTATGCGAGCCCCAGCATAATTTTCGTTTTTTCGGGATTTTGCTTGTCTAGCCATTGTGGTTCCCTAGAGACCCTAGGTCAGCGAGGTCAAAGTCTGTCCCAGGTGGTTACAACCGCATGCAGTCTCCGCCCCTGTGGATCAGAGGGAGATTTGCCACCATACGGCTAGTTTCATACCAAGGCGGTTGTGATGAATTCTGGTATTTTTACTCAACTACTCTCAACTAAGCTTCGTGATGCAAACGCCGGACTTCTTCTCAAGTTGTGAGACCCCGCTAAGGGACGAGTCATCCCGTTGTACATCGCAGCCCGAAACCCAGTAACACGTCCCAGCCACAGTAGGGCGGTAAACCGTTGGGTGGTTTTTCCCTATTATTACTCTAGAATTTGAAACGATGGCTTTTTTTTCGGAAATCAAGTGATTATTCATTTGCGTTTTATAGCGGTAGCGCATTGGTAATGGAGATGTTTTTTAAAGCAATAGCACAATTCAAACCAGATCTTACAATCATATCTGGCATACACACACTAGAATTTCAGGTGAGTTCTGGATAAATATTTTTTGTTACATTCCCAGCAAGTACTTTATCTTTAGAATAAAGAAATGCGCTTGGAAAAGTTACGGATGATAAGACGGAATCTTCTACAGATATCATCGAAAGTGAGTTGGGAAACATTTAACTTGAAGTTCCACGTAGTGATGGATTATTTGAATCTGCACCTATTTATCGCTTAGAATTTTGTTATAGGTGCCTATTCATTTTGAATTGGGCAGCCTTGCAGACGCGACGTTCATGTTTGATATACTACATCGTGTAAGCTTTCCAGTGTAATATCTATTGTTGAGGGGAATTACATAGTAAACAGTTCGTTTTTTTTTTTCTTCGAATCCAACTTCTGTGCCTACATTTTGGTAGGTCTTATGTGTTTGTAAAATGACAATTGCGCGTAGCGCAGTGGTTGGAGGCGCCCTGAACACATGGGATCGATCCCTGCGCCCCAAGCTCACCAAGCCCTCCATCTTTCCGGGGTCGACAAATTGGTACCAATCTTGTCTGGGAGGACACCAGCACTGATTCAATAAATCGGTAGGCCATCGCGAATCATTGTAAAGGCCATGTATGCATTCAATTACCTCTAAAGATGCCTATTGAAGTGGAATGCATGGCTTATCCCTCAATGGTTGATCAACGTCGAGTGGTTTATCCTTTTTGTCTTTCATAGAACTTTAAAGTATTTAGAGTTTATTCTCCGTTAATCTAGTTTGAACTTAAATGTGAGATTAATAGCCATTGCTGACTATTTAAGAATCGACGAAGTAATATACATACCGAATTAGTGTGGATTTTAGTATTTCAACATATCTCTAGCAAAAGTATTATCCATAATATGCTTTGATTGCCTAAGAATCTTACGAGAGGCAGTAAAAAAAGGTCCATAGAAACTGCAAGTAACAGACAGTTTAATTTTTATTCAACTTTTGTTTCCAGATTATTCCACATGTTGATTCGTTGGGCATCAATGAGCAGGAATTAGCCTTCCTTTCCCATGTGGCTGGTGGGCCGCATATGGAAGAGTACCCAGTACAAGCAGGGACAGTTCACGCTCATAAGGTGAAATTTAGGCTATTTCGTCACAATTTTTCGAAATATCTTTTTCATTCTGGCTTAGGCTAGGAAGTGAAGTCATTTTAACGTTTTACTTCAATTCGAAGAGGATACCAATAGAAGTTACTTTGGGTTGTCGAAATGCTGGATTGGCTGCTTCGGACATTTGGCCGCGATCGAATGAATCCAAATTCGAAGAACTTTGGATATCGGCTCCAAAGGATCCATTTTCAATGTTTGACATACCAAATGGTGGTGAGTGCGAGAATTTTACAAAATTTTCTTTAATAAAAAGGTTGACATTGTGATTCAGAACATAGCCTCAGCTTAACTGGGTTCAATGACGATTTGTGCTCCCCAGATCAATCCCTTTGACGGGTGATTGCTCATGGCATCGCTAGGTAGAAAACTAACTGAGAGGAATACGAAACGAAGGACCTGCATGGTATGGTGGTGAATGCGTTAGCCCTTGGAAGTGGCAGTTGTGATTTCGATCTCTAACCCTGCCACCTGCGGTTCAGAGTTTTTGCAAATATCTCAGCACCATTGCGGTTGTGAAAGTAGTTTATACAAACGATTTATGAAATGTATTTGCGTCTGCGTAAAAATTACACAATGTTTTTTTTTAAAGAAAATATGGGAGATTAAAGTGGCAGTGTATCACCATGTTCAGACTATGCTTATGGATCTCCAGCATGTTCAGCAATATAGATTTTTAAGAAACCGCTATTGATATTTTTTGCGAACAGCATCCTGCTCTTACCACAGCTGAACTCTTGGAAGCCATTAAAGTTCGTCTACGAGAACTTTGTAGCTAATACACTAGCAAATTATGTCTGATATGGCAAAGTTATAAAGATTCAATAAGTCGGTGCCTCAAAGAGGGAGCAGTTATAGAGCCGGCCGAAGATGCACAGATAGAGAATAGTTTTCTTTCTTTCTTTCGGTGAAACAATGACTTGAGACATTTTCTTTACAGTTGAGGAAGATGCAAGCTTTTTGGCCACGCCTACATTGAAATCGAAGCATAATGTGCTTTATAGGTCAATATTATTTCCTCTGAAGCTCTAGTCGACTATTTTGTTTTACTTTCTAGGTAAGCTCCGGAAATGATTGGTCGAACTTGGCATCTGGACTGGCGGCATCCTCGCGGTTAGCAGGACGAATGGCTTGCAATCTTGTAAATCAGGTTTGTATTTCTAAATTTTTAAAGGAGTTTTTCGTTTTTTGTGCACTTCTAAGCGGCGATCGAAGGGTAACGTTAATTTTGAGGAGTTCCTAGTTTTGTTCTAACGATTGGCTAAGTATTGTACTCAGTTTTCCCATCTGGTAACAATTACTTGATCGGACTCACGTGAGTGTGATAATGCGAATGTACTCAGAAAAATCTATTGAAAGAAAATGTTGCTTGCTGTTTTATACCTTATGCTTTATCTCCTTCATATTTCATATCTCTTCCAGTCGAACATCATATATATTAGTAGCAACATATAAGGCCATGTATTAGCTATTGGGTAATGGGGAGCTCGAAATTTTTGCGTGGTTTGTGGGAGCTGGGCAACACTGTTGTCTGCAGTTTAGCAAGAGCCTTTCAAATCAACGTAAAACCACGTTTGATGACGAATTCGTAAGACGCCGTCGCGAGGAATTCATACACCATTTTCAGTGGTTATTATTTTCGTCTTCCTTAGTACTGTCCTCCGTTGTGTTACACCCATTCTATATATATATATATATATATATATATATATATATATATATATAAGTATTCGGCTTCTACATCGTCCTTGAGCCGTCGGTTACTTTTACATTCCTACTTTCGTTTCTGATTTCGGTTTTAATATCTCTCCGAATCAACTAGTAGGAAGACCGAGGTAAGGATTCGTCACCGAAAATACGCCTCCCTCTGATCCACATCGTGGTGAAGACCTGGATACGTCCTTGCAAGGTTACGTCAGGACTCCAAGGAGGACCAAGTTGCACGACCAGCAGTAGACCAGTCTCAGTACCCCGCACACTGGGTGCTCCCGTCTATGACGTCAGGCGGTGAGACGACCGGTGAGAGGCCAGAAAATCTCGGGTTACGCAGGACATCATTGGAACGGGATCTGACGAACACACGCACGACATGCCATGGAGATTCTATCTTACTATGCACGTATAATGCTAGAACACCACCGATCTTCACACCCTTCTTGTAGCCACAAATCGCATTAAACTTCATGTGATCGCATTACAGGAAACAAAAATCAAGAAGACCGACATACGCCAATCAAACAACGGGTCCTTGTGATCCGTGGAGAAAAGGTCCCGTTCCGAAATGTCGGTGGCGTAGACTTTGTCGTCCCCCGTCCATTGTCCATCTCGTCGACTTATACGTGATCCTTTACCCTCGCATAGCTGTCATCCATCTTCAACTGTCGCATCATAAGAAGATATCTATCATCAATTGCTACTCACCAACCGATGCAGCTGATGAGTACGAATTAAATGCGTTCTACTATCAGTTGGAGGAAGCCACCCTCAATGATAGAGCATATTATTAATTTGTTGTTGGAGACTTCAACGCCAGAATAGGAAGCGCTAACGAGAGCGAATACAGGATCGAAAATTTTGGACCAGTAGAAAGAAATGAGAATGGGAACCGTCTCGTAGGACTCCTGGTCAGCAGCATGTCTCTTCCATGGAAACTCGTTTTCCAGAAAAAGTAAAGCCGCCGCTGGACATGGGAGTCTCCCAACGGCATGACTCATGCGGAGACCGACCATATTCTCAAAGAGAAGATGGTGCTTACTTGATACATCGATAGTCCCGTCATTCTGTACTGGTTCCGATCACCACCTTCTTCGCGCGAAGGTTCGATTCAGCCGCAAGCTGGAAAAGAACCCTCTTCATCGACCACGAGGAAAAATTCTAGCTGTATACGACGAGAACATTCTAAGCGAAGTCCTGTCCAAACGTGACTGGCAGATTAAAAAAGAACCGACCGATGACTACGAGCTGCTTGTCGAAGGACTGAAAAGCTGTGCCGAATTCGCCTCAGTTCGTTAAGCAAGAAGATCGGATCGCATCTCCATCACTACTAAGGACTTGCTCGAAAAGAGAAGGAAACTGAAGCTTGATCCTACTGCAACACGTTTAACATGGCTAATAATAAATGCCAGCTGCAGAAGAGCTTTGCAGGAAGAACTACAACGGTACAAGCAGAAGAAAAAAATGGAAGCAGCAGAGAAAAGAAGCAGTCTGAAAAAATGCCGTCGGGACTTATGTGATTATAATGTTCCGCTGTCAGCCCTAATGAACGAATATGAGATCTAACTTCTATAATGCTGAGATATTTGCGAAACTCCGGACCACAGGTTCGTTCACCATCGCATACACCTGCGGTCTGGAGTTTTGCAAGTATTTCAGCATTATAGAAATTGTATTTTGTAACATACTCTGCCATTAAAAAGAATAGGCAGAAACGGGATCATCAAAACTTTCCGCCATGATATGGAATTAATTGCGGAGACGTTCTACACCAACCTTTTCCGTTCCACAATCCCTGTCGCGGACCCTAATATCCCAGCTGGAGAAAAACCACCTAGAATTCCTACGTCGGAGGTTCGAGTTGCGATAAAAAAGTATGAGAGGAGGCGCAGCTCCAGGACCCGATAATATCACTGCCGATTTCCTTAGAGCTGGAGGCCGTGATTTACATGTAGTTCTCGCAAATAATATGACAGCTTACCTTCAAAAGGAAAAAAATCCCAGGCCAATGGACTTCGCGTACGGTTATCCTGCCCAAGAAAGGGGTCCGAACGGATCTTTGCAACTATGGTCCCATATGCTTGTTAAGTATACTCTACATGCTCTTTACGAAGATTATCTTCTCACACATGTCAAGGACATTTAATGAGGCGCAACCAGTCGAGCAAGCAGAATTTCGAAAAGGATTCTGCTGCATGGATCACATCAAAAACGTGTCCTGCGTCATCGAAGTTTGTCGGGAATACCACTTGGTTTTAGTCCTAACCTTTGTCGACTATGAGAAAGCGTTTGACATTGTCGAAACGAATGCAATCCTATCAGCGCTTGTCGACCAAGGAGTGGACCCGTCCTACGTAAGGGTTCTGTCGGACTGTTATTGGAGCTGCACTATGAAAATACAGCTTTTCCATCGATCTCTTGCAATACCCATAGGAAAAGGGGTTCGAGAGGGCGACATAATATCGCTGAAACTTCAGTTCGGCACTGCAGTGGATAATGAACTCACTCGGTTGGGATGAAAAAGGCATACGTGTTGATGGAAAATTCCTATCAAACCTTCGTCTTGCCGACGACATTGTCATCTTCTCAAGAAGTACTAGCGAAGCAGAGGTGATGATCAACCACCTCAACGAAGTGGGGAAAAAGACCGGACTTCACATAAATCGAAAGAAAACCCAGTTTATAAAAACCCATAATACGAAGGCGAAAAAATTGAATTGGATGGCTCTCTCATTACAGCGGCCACCTCGTACGTTTACCTTGAGCGATCAATAAACATGGAAAACAACATGAAGTAGGAACTAGATAGGAGGAAGGAAGGAGAGCAGCTTGGGCTGCATTCGGACCTCTCAAAGAAGCCACCGACCAAATAAGGGACCCAAAACTCCTCTTTCACCTTTTCGACTCAACAGTCCTCCCGGCGCTCTTTTGTGCAGTAGAGGCGAGAGCAAATACTTCAACCATGTTAAGAATTCTGCGTGCTACCGCAGAGCGCTTGAGCGATGCCTTCTGAAATATAACCGCCACTCTCAATATGTAGCCGGAATGCGAATCTCTGATCTTCGAAATCTGTCACATCTTCGAGATCTAGGAGAATATACATCGACAGCGAAACACAGACGGGTCGTTCAAATAATGAGAAGAAGAGACGACAGATGGGCGAAGAGAACAGCAGAGTGGACTCCAAGAGAATGCAAACGTCCCCTTGGACGACCACCTACACGTTGGACGGACGTGTTCGTAAACAAAGTTAGTTAGCTGTACCCGCAGCTGCAGTTGCTTTGCAGATCACGGTATGAGACTCGCATGCGCTACCATGCTCGAACATGACCACCACCATGGGTTACGATTGCGAGAGAAAGGAACGAATGGCATATGTGCGGGGGTGCTCACAGCTCATGAAGACGGACCGTTCAAGTATCCAAGTAAGTATATATGTATATGTGTATGTATGTCTACTTATATGTATATATATATGTATATATATATATATATATATATATATATATATATATATATATAAAGTTGAACTGTCTGCTAACCAGTGACAGAAATGAGATCTGGAGTAGAAGGTTATTACACCCATTTTAACTTTAACCGTATAGACGACTGTTGTTGAACTCTGGAGTGACATTGAGAAGCGGTTGTCAATCAAAGAAATTTTTTGTGATGGAAACAGTGTCGGATCGTGTTCTACTGTAGCATTTCCTGTCCCGATTTTCGTCGTCTAATCTAAACTTTTCGAGAAATCTGCCAGGGCCACTGCATCGCTTAGACGTTCGGAAAGTCTCCAATGTTTTTTCTTGATCGTCGAGATTTCTCTGTGTGGAATTATGAAACACCTAAGGCATAAGTGGACGAATATTAAGGTATACGACTCATCTCACGATGAGGATCTTCACGTAGTTTGAGCATCGAATGTGCATCTCAGTTCAAGTTTCATGAACGCTCCATCGCTACTGAAAGATCAGGTGTCATCGGATTTTTTTCCCGACACACTTTACGCGGCGTCAATTTCTAGTGGGCATTGTGGCATACGCTCCTATAGTTTGATGACTTCACTTTCGAGTTTTTAATTTTTTAATCGACAGGTTTCTTGGAACAGCTTTGTTTAAGGCTCGTATGGAAACTGATATGTTAGAAGTTCGAACGGCTCCGTCGTTCATTCTGGACAAGAAACTCGGAAAGGTGTACAATTTCCATGCTCATAAGTATGTTTGCAATTTAAAAACTTTATTTGATTTTGGTAGAACATTATGATTTTATAGTTTTTCGTCGCTCTTCTTTTTTCATACTTTTGCATGAATCTTGCGGGTAGTGTTTTTTCATCTATCATGCGTAGAGGGTTAGCAATGTCGACACTATCACCACGATGGCTTATTCATTTCAACCGCTGATATAATTCTAAAGGCTAGAATTAGAACTACGATGTTTTTACGAATCCATTTCCAGCTACGTTTTTTTGACAAAATATTTTGTTTGTGAGCATGGTTTAGTACACCAATTATGTTTATTGTTTGTAGTAATAACACGGCTGAGAGAAATGCGAAGCGAAGGACTCGCATGGTGTGGTGGTGAGCACGTTAGCCCCCGGAAAGGGTAATAGCTCGTTTGTTCTCCATCGCAGATACCAGCGGTCTTGAGTTTTTCAAATATCTCAGCATCATTATGTTTGTTGTTGGTTTTTCACATAACCTTGTTCTTCCTGTTACTTATCATATAATACTTCCAGTCCAATCGCATCATGGATGCGAGACCAAGTGTTATTTATCTTTACACCGGTGTTGGTGTGCAAGTTTCCAATGAAAACGGTTGGTATTGACGACGCGATTTCGACAACGGGCTTGCTTTATTCACAATTCTACCGGTTCGATAGCGATATGAAGTGGTAACTTCTGATGGCCGATGTGCTCTCAATATTCTTTTCGGGTGCGATACCCTGAGGGGTAATGGTATTGTAATCATACATTTTTTCGACATTCACTTTCTATGCCTTTGACACTATGTTCAGCTTATGTTTAGGGAATTTTTACCAGTCGATTGTTGTCCAAAATATGTTTTCTACGTATCCGCTTCTGATTTGTTATATACTGGTAGGTAGAGAACGGTAATTTTCCGTTTAAATGTTGGATGGATGTGGAAATATTGGCGGATTTTCATGAATATCTCACTTTCGAAGCGACTTTTTTAAAGTATGTTTTCAGTAGGTAAGAAGTTGCTAAACTTTTTCTCAAGTAGTAGTAGAGGTTTTCGAACAAGTGTTAAATTGCTGTTGAGAGGTCCGATGAATGTGAATGAGGCGGGGTTTCGTAACGCGTGTACTCTTTATTAACAATATTGGACGTTTTCTATTGGTCAGGTGTGGTTTCATAGACCATAATTTTTGGGAAGTCTCATCGATTTTATGGTGGAGCTGTGCCTTTACCGATCTGTGGACATTTAGGAAGTCATGGTCGATTAGTTTGATCTAGGACCACTAAGTAGTTACTACAACCTTCTTTCTGCGCACGTCTAGCTTTTAGAACCGTTCAGGAGCATCAATTGGATCTGTTCATTGTGGTGGATTTCTTTTTCGTCATATATGGTAGGCATTTTATTGCATGGTTTATTTTGAAAGGGTTTCTTCCACCGAGAGAAAACCGCTCTCCTGGGACCATGTCCCTTCATGGTAGAAATGAAAAGTTTCTGTTGTGTAAACGAAGTCCACAGTAACCCTCACATCAACTCACGCCGCATTGTGCTCATGAAAAGGTAACCTTTAGGGGATAAAAGAAGCACAGAGCAGTTACTCGATGGTCATCTATTTGACCTTTGTTTGGCATCTATTGACCAAGTTTTTCCACACTTTTAGGGTTCTCCAGACGGTCAAAGGTTGTTCCACTGTTACCATTACTGCTCTTGGGAAGCCCGTCGAGTACTTTATAGTGGGTTGACTACGGTTATCGCACCTCCAGATGGTCGTGGTCATCCGGTGACAAGCGTTCATGACTTCTTTTGCTATCGAGACTAACATCTCCATTGTGAAGCTTTACGTAGACAAGGTACACTCTGCATCTGGAGGTGCTTTAGACTCATGCTTTGATGACATTCCAAGTAAGCTTTAGAACATATTCACCATTTATCGGAGATTTGCTGGCTAAGCCATTGTGGTTCCCTGGAACCCCTAGGACAGCCCGGCCAAAGTTTGCCCCAGGTCGTCACCACGACAGGCAGTCGCAACCCTTGTGGATCAAGGGAGATTTACCACTATGCGACTTTGATACTAAGACAGTGGTGGATCCTAGTATTGGTATTGGTTTACTCTTAGCTAGGCTTCGCGATGGAAGCGCCGGACTCCTCAGCGTGGGTGACCCTGCCGGGGAACGAATGCCCCGCTGTACATCGCAGTCCGACACCCAGGAACACCTTCCAGCCACGAGACGATAAATCATTGAGAGGAGACTAACCAGAATACATTTGTTATAAAATGTATCCAGGAGATATCCGACGAGAAAATACGCCATTATTTGTGCAAATACTTGATATGTATATAGTACTACCACTGAAATTCACCGTGATATTGAAAATACTGTTTCCTGTACTACTCTGTTCTACCGATTTTACTGGCTACTTCCTACATTCTATACTAAGTTTAACTTAAAGTTTCCCATCAAAATCTGCTGAAAAATGACATCATGCATTTAATTTTTAGGAATTACTGTTGGTTGTTTGGAGCCAGTTGAGTAGCGAAAATGAAAAAAGTGAAAATAGGTTAGGTTTTGTTGTATTATTTTATCATGCTGTAGCAATAAAGTCCTTTTCCATCTCAGTGGTTTTTGTCTTAGGCGTCAACGACGTTCAGTATACTTTTTGATGGTGGAAAAAGTCTCCTTTTTATGTTACTACTTATGAGTTTCCCCAGAAATTACGATTGTACACACCAAAAGGCAATTAAATCCAGTGATTATACAGCTTGTACGAGAAGGGCGGATTCCAAGACCTCGCGTGGTATCCCATCCGTTGAATTCATCTGCGTTTCAAAAGAACGTCCAACGTTGGTTTTGGTCCACTTTTAACAACTATTTGCTTCCCGGGGACGGGTGATGTAGTTTTTCGAGTAATCGGCAAGGAATTTCTACTGAATGACCATAACTACAATCAGATGCGTCAAACTGGAGTTCCAATTGTGATTTTGAGACGATGGCTGCGTAAAAGAGCGTTAGCTCGGCAATCGAAGCCTAGCAGCTCAGGGAAATTGGATGAGGGAGCTACATTCTCAGATGTGCATTCCGTTGTATTGGATCCACTTGCCAAGCTGCCATACTCGGAAGAAGTTGGTTTATTAGGAAACCTTTTGCATATATCCGGGTTTTATCACATTGGAGAAATGTCCAATACTCTACTAAACAAAGGAATTTCTTCTGCGGTTGAAAATTCTATTTATAATTTATATATATCTAATATGTTGTCCTTTTGATGAGCAGACATGAGGTAAATGCATATGCTTATTTCACGATGGCTAACGTTTCAGCGGATTCCGCTTTTTTTCAGAGCCTGGAACGGTTGAGTTGATATGAAATTCAGTTAGCAAAATAGTTTCATTACCCGAACAAAGAAAAACTCAGTTCCTAAATATCATTCGTATTCGAAGCACCTTCTTCAGACACTTACCGTTTCCTATAGGTTTTTTCTTGGGATTATGGAAGTATTTGACATACTAGATGGCACATCAGCTTGACTTTTCTGTGCTCGGAAGAAATTGCAATACTTTGAAACGAAGAAAAAATCTAAAAGGATAAAACTCACAGAAAAGTAGTTGAGTTTTATTACTTTGCAATTCGCATTAATGCTTACAGTTTGTAAAGCAACATGTGGAGAAGACGTCGAAGGAGATATTGAAGGAGAGAAACAAATCCAAGTAAGTGTTTAACTGTTTTTTTTAATCCACTTTACTTATTTGTACATGCTGCTGATCTCTTACTCTTCATGTTACCGGTTTATTACTAAAAGAGCACATGGGATGAGACTAGTTTTTTTATTGTTCGAAATCCCTAAAAAGTTTCACACCAAATTTGATGCCACAGATCCACATCGCTATTAAGGATATAAGAGAACTTACGGGGTGTAATACATTTGCAGTTGTGAAAGCATCGTATATAGCTGATACGTGTCGGTTTTGGCTGGTGTGGAGATATATGACCCAATGGTTCGGTTTTCTCTTTTGCCATACGAACATGCCTCTGGTTAGGTTTCTACGCATAATTTCCAGAAAACTACTGTTAAGTCTCACGGCGAGAAACCATTGCTGGTGAGTATCGTGTCCAAATGGGAGTGCATGAGTTTTGAATCAATCATTTGTTTAATGAATGAAAAAAAGGCTAAAAGACCATAGTAAAATGAAAGGCTTTTACTAATGAGGAGTGTATTTCGAACTACTTGTATACATTGCACTCATTTCGCAATAGCACTTAGTTTTAAAAAAAAGTTTTGCTTCATTTGTTCAGAGATGCTTGAATAGGCAGGAATGAAAGATCTACGCCTCCGTACACTTTGCTATTGAGTATCTTATTTCAGATACTGGTTTTTAAACAGATAGCGCACAACCCTTAGATTTGCATGGTTGCCGTTTGGGATTACGCCGAATTTCTTGGCTGCTTCACAAGTAATAAAACTGGCTGGATCAATACAGAAAGTAACGAACAATGCTGGTTTTTCGACAATAGAGAATAAATTTTCCATAGCTGCGAAAAGTATTGAGGATCTTAGAGAATGACGGAAGGTTTGCTCTGTTGGTGTAGAGGTACATATGTAGCTGCTCTTTTTACCACATATTTTTTGCATACGAGCATTCTAGTTTATGCTGAGTGTATTTCAGTATTTCTATCAATTCATTGCATACGATTACTATGACTTGTCGTGACAACCTAGAAAGGAAACAATGAATCATTAGGGGGAAAAGTAAGTTTATGTGCAAAACATAATAGGTGATGCCGGTTTTGTGATAACTGCCAATATTTTTCAGTAACTTTAGGTCTTGAAAGTTGGGAACTTGACGTACCTGTAGTAGAGTTTTTGTCGCATCCGTCTCAGACTGTATATACACAACATGGAACAGAACTGAACATTGTTCGATCTCTAATCGAAGGTGATAGTGAAGAACCTAGAGATGCGTTGGACAATGCCAAACCTTCTCTGCTTTTTCTCTGTAGGAAATGATTCGGAAAAAAGGATGATGTTGATATGTTCGGGGCTAGTACTGCAATGTAATGCTTCATAGAAACTTTATCTCAAATGAAATCAGTTGATGCGAATTGAAAATTTTTTTGATTCAGTACACAGAACCGATAGATTTTTATGATTTATTTAATGCTCAGCGCTTTTGTCCTGATTCTTAACGGGATGAAAAGGCATGAACTACAGAATGGTCTGCCTTTTATGGAAACGACAAATCTTCACCAAATAGTGATAAATCAGACTCCACCCTAAGATGCCGATTACTAGATTGGCACTTGGAGGATAATTGGAGTTCCAACGCTATTATTACAAACCGTCACATTGCAATCATGCTTTGGAAGGCGGTAGAATCTAAAGCATGCTACCAAGTCACCCTTTTGTCGCTAGCGCAAAATATATGGTTGAGAAGAGAGTATGTAGCAGATTAGACCCCTAGTTGGACTTGTCAGTAGGAATAGCTGTTGAATGTGCAAGCATACGGAATATGTGTGTATTGACGAATATCTGTGACCTTTTAGAGGAAGAATATATTGAAATCGTGTAGTGGAATCGGTAACACCTGGATAGTTTTAGTGTGTACCGGTAGGTAACCTCTATAACCGGTTCAGTTAGGTTTATGTGCAACTTCTTTTTGGATGAAGCAAGGTATTTTTGGATCGATAGTTGGCACACAAGTTTTTCCTTGGCTGTGGATTTACTGCAAAGAATACCTATCTTAGAGGAAGCTAAAGGAAGAATTACAAGGGACCTTCCGTGAAACTAATAAAGCAGATGCTAAATTGAGGACACTGCATGACAACACGTAGACAGATCGGTTTCAAAGTCGCAAATGATTGGAAGCCAAAAACAGGGGTAAGGCGAGAACCGAAGATTTGGAGAGTTCTAAAAACTAGAAGTGCTATGTGGAAAATGTTTGGTTTGTGTTAGATTTGTAAACCGTTTGTGAACAAATTTTAAGTTGTAAGTTATAAAATGAACGTTTTTGAGCACAGTGATTACAACATCAGTGAAAGGTTGTTATAATAAAACTTTATGACTATTTTGAATGACAAACTCTGGGAAAGTACATTAACGAGTGCACGCTCCACAACCCTCAGGTCATTGAAGAGGTCTCCTCACATCTTGTTGTGGCGAAGAGATAACCCTTCGGTGTAGAACCATACTGTTTAACCCGCTGAGATGCAATGCACTTCGTCCATTTTGCATCCTTTACCTCATGCTTGTATATCATACAAATGACATTCTGTAAGTTAGCATAGTATAGTGACATGTTACATCTATTTTTATTTGTTGACTAAATTCTTTTCCCAGTATTTGAGTTAGTTAAGAGTTAGTATTGTTAACATATGGGAAGGTCAAGAAAATTACAGGTTCGGAAATAGGAAGAAGGCTTCCAATGTTATTGTATTTGATCATATTCCCTTGGCAGATCAGATCGTATGCTTGTTTCCAGGACAAGGCGCGCAGTATGTTGGTATGGGAAGCAAAGTTAGTCCTTGTGCAAAATAGTATTTGTGCCATAATAAATAAGATGTCTAGTGTTCTGTAGACTCTGTTTGCTCATTCCAGCTAGTTGACTGCCCCAAAGCAAAAGCTGTTTTCGATCGTTCATCTGAAATCCTTGGTTATGACATGTTCAAACTGTGCACTGAAGGACCAAAAACTAAGTGCGTTTGGCTGCATCTGCATATTTTTAACCACATGTTGCACTATATTTGCTACTCAGGCTTGACCAAACCCTCTACTGCCAGCCGGCTGTTTTCGTATCTTCAATGGCGTCCATTGAGAAATTCAAGGCTTCCGATGAAACGATTGCTGATCGTATAACCGACGCTGCTGGCTTCAGTGTCGGTGAATTTGCTGCACTAGTTACTGGTGGAATAATCGGTTTTGATGATGGTGAGGAAAAATTGCTTAGGAAGAATATTACAGTATGAATGGTTTGATTCTTTGCCACAAATTGTTAAATGTCCACTACTATAATAACATCTTCGGTTTTCTGAGATATTCGGTTAATTATTGTTTAAGATAACATGGATTCCTACAGTTCACTGTTAATTTTAAGTTATTGAAGTTGAGCTACTACAACCAGCTATAGCGGATCTGGGGCGTGTGTGGCGTAGCACACGAAGGCGCCCTGTGACACACACGTGGGATCGGTCTCCGCGCTAGTGGCTCAACAAGCCTTCCTTCTCTCTGTGGTCGGCAAATCGGTATCAGAATTGGCTGGGAGGATAGCAGCACTGGTTTGTTACATCGGTAGACCACCATGAGTCATTGTAAAGGCCATACATGCATTCAGTCATCTCCAACGATGCTTAATGAAGTTGAGTTCATGGGGCATCCCTCAAGGACTGATCTACACTGACAGCTTTATCTTTTATCCTTTATAGCAGAGCTGTTGCGTCATCTTCATAAAGATTTGGTGCAAACCTCTTATACCAGCACAAAAGGAATGACTACTGTTTTTAACTTGTACCATTAGGAAGCTAAGACTACAATCTTCCTGCGATTGATTAACAGGAATACCCAATGGGCTGTGTCCACTGTTGTTCGTAATATAAGTATTTGATCATGTCTAGATACATTGTCTCGGCGGATTTAGGATATGTTTTGAAGAGTATGGCTTTTTATGACCTGTATAATCTGTGATCCTGTTAATCATTGCTTATTTCGAGCTAGTGCCTGTAAATTTTCACGTCAAGTCTGTTTTCGTTCCCGTCATGCACAAACGGTACCCAGTGAGCTTCACTTGTCCATACAATGAACACTACCACTTCACACCTTTGGGATGGTGTGTTTTGCTACTGTTTTAGGCGAAAAGGCAACCTGTGCATTTCGCTATGCTTTTCCACCGCTTAACCTAAGTTGTGCTCCTGAAAGGAAGTTTTGATTTCTTTTTGAACTTGGATGACCCTATTGGTGGAGGTAACACTGCCATACATCAAGGCACAGAACAAAGTTGAACACTAAAGCACAACTCCAACCAAGAAAAAGTAGTCAATTAGTGGAGTCAAAAGTGTTATGATTAAATTACTCATCGCAATGAAAATTCACTTAGTGTTCACCATTTTTTTTTTGTTTTTATGAGGTTTGCTTACCTTTGTTAATATTAGGACTGAGTGAACCCTCTTCTTAGCAACTGGTGCTCTTAGCTAGTGCAGTTATATAAGTGTACTATCAATAACGGTTTTTCTTATGTATTTCTTAACTGATTATCTCTCTGTATAATGTTAATGATAGGAAAAATTCTTGCTTAGCTATAAGTTTAGCACTTCGGGTGGTTGATGCGCGAGCGAAAGCAATGCATGAATGCAATCAGTTAGTCCGTAGCGGAATGCTGACGATAAGAGTGAACGCCTCATCCCGACTTAATGAAGCAATGTATGAAGCCATTGGCATCTCAAGGTTCGTTTTATGTTCCATCTACAATCGTTTGTCGATTTCGGCTTCCCAGATCAATCCCGTTGGCGGGTGATTTCTGGTGGCACTGATCGATAGAAAACTAGCTGAGAGAAAGGCGAAACGAAAGACAGCCATGGTGTGATGGTGAGCGCATTATCGCCGGAAAGGGTAATAATGCGTTATTTCTACAGCGAAAACACCTGCTGTGCGGCGTTTTTCAAATATTTCAGGACCAGTGTTATAATTTTTTTTCTATAAAACTCAAGGCGGAGAGGTGAAATTAACAATCTTGCACTGGGTGATTAATGTGTCCTTTTTTTGCTATTTTATTTTCTTGGAGTATCTAGTGGATCTTCTAAAAGTTGTACCTCCATTACTAATCAATCTTTTCTTGAATTATTAAGCCAATTAAATTGAGATCCTTGAAAGTACTAATTGATGTTTAACTTTTTATTTACTACCTATTGTTTTTTCATGGCAGGGTGTTATGTGAAATAGAACTACAATGGTGCTGAGGTATGGACAGGACTGTAACTTCGACTGCAGGTTCAGCTTTACTAGGTTCAATGCCTATCTTTGTTCCCTCTGGCTAAGAGAAAGACAAAGCAAAGAGTACGATGGTGCGGCGGATGACTAATTGATGTATTCTATTCCTTATTAACGAGGTACGAGTATCGCAATAGTAGAAATTCCATTCAGTTCGTGCATGGAGCTAGCCTTGCCTCTTGTCTGGGGTGAGGGAATTGGTAATATACTTGTTTGGCAAGCTTCTGATCCGCAAATGGTGGTTACTACTTACGGTGATGACCTTGGAAAGCCCTGTATCGGCGTTCCAGCCAACATCGACATGAATAGCATTCAACAACGCTTATAATCAACGCTAATAATCTTCAAGGAGTAACATGCGCCTATCCCAAAACCTTGGTGAAGTTATAAAGCTGAGGAAGTAAATCGATTGAAGAAAGTCTGGAATTCGCACAGTTTGTTATGTTGGTTGTTGTAAAATGAAAATCTGTGGGTTCAGAGAAATCGTTGTCATAAAACCTATTTTATAGTCTAAGATGTAGGATAGTATATGTCAAAATTTTGGTTCTTTTTTTCTAATCAAGGTTGTTTTCATTAAACATCCTAGCAGTGTTAGTTTTCGTTTTCTTTGACGCCGTAGAGTGTTAGTCAGGATTGTTATAGTTATCTATTAATCTAGCTTAATTGTACTCAAAGATAGAGTCCATACTCCGATGAAGAGCAACTTACTGGAACAAAAAGTGTGATTATTCATTTAAGCTGGTTTATTCTCCGCTTAGTGGTGGTTAAGGTTTGGTATGTATTGTGAAAGATTTTTTCTTTTTTATTTTTTGAGTGATGATGATTTCCCTTTTTACTGCTACGAAAAAGTGTATTTTAGAGAAAAGGGTGAGATGGATGTTTGCGAGGTTGCAAACTTTTTGTTTTGTGGCGTTCGTGTAGTCGGCGCTAATGAAACATGTATGCGATTTCTGGAAGAAAACCAAGAAAGATACAATTTCAAGGTTAGTAAAAGATTGTGGACTCGTAAAAACACACATGAAGTTGGATAACCCATTTACTATAGTGTGAGCCATACTTTGCTAAGAGTTTCATAAGTTTTTGCCATGAAAGATCTTATATCTTTCACATCATCCTCATAAAGTTCCATATCCCAGATGTCGTAAAATCCATTATCAAAAACTGTTTGTTGACACTTCATTTGTGTTTTTTTTTTTGATGACATAGGGTGCTCGATGGCTGCGTTAAGCACTTAAACTACCGAACACATTCAGGGAAAACTGTCTTCTACTTGCAGTAAAATTCATCAGAAAAATAACATCGATGTGTTGTTGCAAGCTTGCGTTAAGCAGTATGAATTATATGAGGCTGCGCGACGCCAAACAAAGACACTGATTCTTGCCGTTAATGTCGGAGAAATACACATCAATGGGATGAATATGAGAAATTTATCAATATTCCGTTCTTTTGAAAACTGTGCCCAATTTTTGTAGGTAAGAATTTGTCGTTGATGACTTCCCAAGGCAAAGCACTTCTTCTAGAAGAGCTATTTTTATTTGACTAGGTTGTCCATCAATAACCGGTTACATTTAGGTACTGAAGCGTTTAGAAGTAAGTGGTGCGTTTCATACTCGACAAATGGAGCAAGCCGTGGCGAAAGTACGTGAGGCAATGGCAAATGTGGAAATACAGAAGGCCCGGTGCAATGTTTACTCCAACTATACGGGACATATCTATCCTGCTCGAAATGTAGGTTTCACGGTATGAACAGCCTGTTATTACGTTCTCAATGTCACACACTGATTATACCAACTTTTACTAGTAAACATTTAGAAGTATCAGAGAATCTGACCAAAGATAAATGTTTTCATACTTTTCTGTTATTTGGTTTATCTAGAAAAACTTCTCCATATGTCATAAGTGAGCTCGTTTTGGTTATTGTACATCTGTAAATTAGAGTTCTTCTTTTTCCTCACAAAATATTTTCTACTTTTCGGCAAGACATGCTTAATTCAACTGTAGAGCTGTGCAATTTAGTCCGAAATTCGGGCGGTTATTGCGAAACAAGTGACGAATCCAGTTAAGTGGGAGCAAATTCAGCAGCTGCTTTACCGAAAGCATCGTGTAAGTTTAATTTGAAGTGTTTTCTTTTAGAGTGTCACATGTATCCTTGTCTTTCCCTTGATCACTAAGTGAGTCTAGCCAGCAGTTTCTTCATTTATGGTTGATTGGGTAGTCTTCGTATTGTACACTTGGCATCATAGACCCGATCGCTAACGACTGCTGTCGAGCGGTTGTTGTTAAAATAGATTACGTAGCTATCGCATTTTCGACACCATTCGGTAGTGTGTTCTGTAGGTAGTCCCATGTGATCTTTTATTTTGGTTACGTAGCATCCAGCTTCCTGAAGGATATAATATGACGGAAAGATCATTGAGTTGAAACGATGAGAACAGCAGGGTGCTTTTTATCCTCTTTAGGTGCTTCGCTGATGTTGGTGCTTAGGTCTCGAGATAAGTCGTACATTATTTTGGATTGTTGTCTCAGTTGCACGTGATTGGAAAATTCAGAATTGCTCATTCCATTGACAATGACTGGTAATTATTAGAAGCGGATCCGTTTTTCATGAACGTATTTTTTCCGAGAATCGGCTGGAGGTCACTTATTCCATAAGTACTTTTAAAGTCGGTGAGCTTTCGTTATACTTGGCGAATGCTTTGATTTTATGAGTTCCAGCGGTACTAGCAGGAAAGAGATTCTATTAGGGTTTTCCATGACGATTTCGAGAGCAGTTGTAAATATTTTTGCAAAATGGCATTGTTTTATTGAACCCTTGTTTTTACATCTATAGTGTTCCCTACTGAATGGTTCCCTGCTTGTTACAGAAAATATATGTAGGTCATGAAAGCACTTTACGCGTTCCACCAAAAACGCCGTAGAAGTCCTAAATACTCTATATCTGCTTCTGTCCAAACTGTTCATTGCTTCCAATTCACCTGAGGCGAAACGGTTTGTCGTACTATTGTGGTTCTTCATTGAGTTCTGACGTGGATATGGTCCATGAGCATACATTATTTTTGAAACTAGTACTGCTGGCATGGTGGTAATAGAATTGCGTTTCTTGAACTTTGTTGCATCTTTTCCTCTTTTCACCAAAGAGGTGGTGGTCCTGTCACGTGTAAAGCTTTGGGAGAGCAGTAACATCGGTTTGACAAAAGGAGGTTTCCCAAGATGAGGTCTTTGTCATCATTGTACTCCCATTGGGAGACTCATGAAGTGGTTTGGTCATCATGACAGATCACACAGCCCTTCACTCTGTTCATTCTAGTCTAAATAGCTGGTTTTGTTGTGTAGCTCTCGCGTTTTACCTGCACTAATTTTGGCGTTGAGGTCTTTAGTGTAAGCCTAATAGAATCTCCGTATAAAGCCTGATTTTCACTATGGGTTTTCTCTAAGTCCGTATATAATCGTTTGAGTGCTTGCTTGGAATACTTCAAAAACGACTTTTCTTTAACCTCGGCATGACTAGCCAGTACGTACTCTTTGATTGATGGGCTAACACGAAGTTGATAAAGTGAACTTTTAGGTTAACGTTACGATGTCTTCATCCTTCGACTTTGTCAGAGCTGATGATCCGAGTCGATGGTCCACAGTCGTTCGTACTCTTGATGTGATGTCTTCGTTGTCGTATTGAGTTAAGCCCTTTTCAGTGCAGCACCGATTGCTTGGAGTAATCCTATTTGAGTTGATGTTCGACGTTAGTGACGAAGATTTTGAAATTCGGTCTTGATTCGAATTCCCTCAATGGTAAGCACCCGATTTGCGTTGATAATTGTTGGCATGAATCGATGTTTGTGACTAAAGTCATACTTACGAGTACACCGACTCAGCTACTCTATTTTTGCTTATACCAGGGAGCATGTCTTCTTGTATATCGTGAACAATGTTTGATAGATGGTGTCTGTTCATCTCAGCTAGAGTGGTGATGTCGTGAATGAAGGATTCAGATGGTAGTGTGCATTTGTTGTAAGAAGTACAGATCATCTCCATAGTTCCTTCAGATCTAGATCACAGCACAACTTCGCCCGTCAAGGAACGCTTAGCGCAGTGGGATGGATGCCGTTTAATATGCAAAAGACCTGGTTTGACTCCACCACAGGTCAACCAGTGCTTTTGTCATTCCGGGGTGAAGAGATCGATAAACTTGTCCGGCAAACTTCCTGCGTACTACAAATGCTGGTCAATCTCTGGTGAAGACCTGGCCTAGCAATACTATCTCACGATTCCAGAGAGAACCGATTCGGCTAGCATTCAATGGGATTTATAAAGAAGATTGAGAATCTCCAATTAGTAGCTGAAAGCAAATGCAAATCCAAATCCGAAGAGTTCCAGTTTCAAATATATTAATGAGGAGAAAGCGTTTGACAGTGATGGTTATCAGTGGTTCCTCTAATATCTCTTTGTTTTAGGATTACGTATTCCCGATGTTCGTAGAGTTGGGCCCTGGTCGACAACTTGGCGCTATGTTAATGCAAACCAGCAAAAAGGCTTATAAAAATTACCAACATTTTGGTTGCTAAGTCGTAGTTGTAATTGTAGTGGAGGTCGTAAGTGTCTTGCTTATTTTATCAATGCCAGGAAGGCTTTTTGTAAAATGCGAATGTATGGTACAATTGTGAATTTTTCGGTAGCTAGGGAATTCGTCTCTAAATTTTAGAATCGTTAATCTCTATAGCTGAATCACACAAAGTCTCAATTGTATTACATTCACGGTTTTCCTTTTATTTTTGTTGAATTGAAGATGTTTGGAAATATTTTAATTTCTGTGTATTTTGGTATTAGTAAGCTAATGTGCACAAAATTTGTTTTTTCTACGTTGTATGTGGGTGGAGTCATAGCCGGAATATAAGCAAAATCAAGAAAGAATTCAAAATAATCTGAATGGCTGCTGTCCCCCCAATTGAATCCATCCATTGCGAGGATATTATCCAAATTTCTGGATGGTACAATTGTGAATTTTTCGGGAAACTGTTGGTCGTGTAGTTATTGTTCAGATTTCCATCTTTCTGTTTATTCTGTTGAAGCGTTTGATCCAGTAAATTACGTATACCTGTACTCTTCCAGGCTCTTAAGAAGGCGCTACTGCCGAAACGTCGACTACCGTTGTGTTTTATGTGTTCCTTTTGTAAGGCAATAAACGTGTGCTGAATGTTGGGACGCTCCGTTGATATAGGAGTACCAAGTAGTCAAGAAGATTCGGTCGGAATTAGCTGCTCGTCTTTGCCACGAAGGTCTTTTCGTGATTTGGTGGTCACAATTCCGGGCACGTCAAGCTTGGGTAGTTGAACCGTTTATCTTAATTATACAAAAATTATGGCATAACAATGCAACTATGCAATTAATACGTCGATGGTACAAGTAATAAAAAGGCACAGCCTGATTGCTAGTGTTCAAATCGATTATGAGTGAAGAGGTTGTCATATGAATTCTACTATATGAGATGGTTGTAAGAAAGGGATATGGTTACGTGGACAGCATTGCAGTGAACTGAACGAGCTACCCGGGGAGCGGTTTATATTCCTTTTGTGATGGGTCGAGTCAGGCTACAGTAGACGGGGAGACGGTTTACCACTAAGAGGTGTTGGAAACATTTTTCAACCATTGCGGTCTGATAGGGCGATATTCAACGCATAAGACTGCAACCGCAGATGAGATAGCAGTCTACGAAATGTTAAACGTAAGAATTCGAGATGTTTTATGTAGAGAGCATTCCAATGTTCGTGAAGAATGTTCTCTATATTTTCCCCCTCACAAGAGCACAGGGAGTGAATGTGCGGCAAAGAGTCAGACCGCTTGTGTGGCCATTGATGACAAGCGTGGTACTTTTTGGAGCATCGCGATGCTGGCTTGTCCTGTAGGGTGGAGACGCCGCGTTTGAGTTACACTGCTCGTAGTTGATTTGGTGTTGTTGATCCCAGTTTGTGTTGCCGCGTGAGGAAACACTTTGATATCTGGAATTTTTATTAATGTTATGGTGTAGTTGACTGAAGTGAAAGCCGTGACGTGGTAGTGATGCTGGTCTGCTTCTTGTAGTGGTGATGGGTGGTGCGGCATTGCGTGTTGGTATTCTAGGTCGTCGTATTGACGTTGATGCTGGTTGCCTGTGGGAGTATTATATGGCGAGAATGTGGTAGTGAATAGTAGAGTAGAATAGTAGAGCACGTTGAATAGAAATTTAGAATTGTTATATGTTGAGCGTTTTACAGTAGTTTGGTGTGCATAGGAGTTGACTTTTTAAGGTGGATTAGGCTTTAAGGGGAATTAGGCGGATGAGATAATTTTTTAGTCAGTCGATATTTCGTAGAAGTAGCTTGATTGCTTTGGACATACATAGTGCGACTTAGATTGTGCAAGTAGGTAGACACCGCGTAGGTGAGCACGAATATTATAATTAGAAGAATAGATATGGCAATAGTGTTTCCTAGTAATTGTGTTTTACGAGAAACATTTGCTGTTCTTGATTATCGTAATGTTCTGGACACTTTTCCAAAGAGCCTTCGTTATGTTTGAAGGTATTGCAAATGTTTTTCCAATTGTCTGTAGATTCCTGGAGGAATGGTGGTCCAATCCACCAGAAGTGGTCGAGCAATTCCTTATGGCGAAGACCACGGGTTGCACAGTCCGCTGCGTTATAACGTGATCGCACATGACCGAAAAGTATTCGATAACCGTTCTTTTGTATTTGTTCGATGATCCTTTCGATTCCCAGTAGTCTTTTTAATATTCTGAGTCCAACGTTCTTAAGTTATTTGTACTTTATCCAGCTATCCGCTTTATTCGTAGTTTAATCTCTACTATTGTCGGTAGGTAGAGCTCTTGTGCAAGCTTGTCGTCGATAAAGAATAACTCGGCTCCCGTGTCCAATAAGACAGAAACTTTCCCAAATTGTTTTGTGGTTAGGTTCATTATAGTCAATTCCCTTGTGGGTGGGAAAGTTGACTGCAGTTTTGTGACTAATCTCGTCGAAATTTTCTTTTCAGCCGGTGTCTCTTGTCCGACGTGGTTTATTTTGGACGTAGAAGTGGGTTTAACAACTGAACAACTTGCAATTGCTGAAAAAGAAAACGACTTGACACCTGTTTATGCTTCATAATTTTTTCATGAATTTTGTTATTGACCACGGAAGTTCTATCGATTTTGAAGGTTTTGTATTGTACCGTTAAAAATAATGATGTAGTGCTTATTCGAAGCTTTTCTGAGTGATTATGTTTTTGTTTATGGAAGTCGTTCTGATTTCGAGCACAAGGATTTCGCATGCTTCGCAGAATGCGAGACAAGTTGCTCAAAGCATAGATAGGACTCCATTTCTTTCATTTTGAAGAGGTTCTCGTTTAACATCGCAGTATTCCAGGGAGAGTATCTCTCTTTAATCATTTAATTTGTTGTTAACGAATAAAATTTTTTCCTATGTCAGATACATTTTCATTTTCTTGTATGAATTTCCCAGATGTGTTGTATTTAGCTATGAAAGTGAACATTGCCATTGTGCCTCACTACAATATCTGTGTCACGAATAGAATTTGGAGGTCGTTCAGCTTTGAAGAAATGCATCAGTGCCATTACACCCATCTGATCTTCGGGAAAAGCCGTTAAGAGTGAAGTCAAATGCTTCATTTCGCTTCATGACTTCATCTGTAACTACGAGTCCACTTTGATTATTCGGGCTTTTTCCATAAAGTTGTCATTGTCTTGTTACGAGTAACAAGCGTATTCTGAACTTACCAGTTTTGACTATCCGGTTGATTTCGGTAGAAGCCATTGCGGCTGGAAGAGAGATTACTTTTGTATTTCTAAACTTTCCTGTTGTGGTGAATCGTGATTTGGAAGCTTGTGCGACCTTGGCTTCCTTTAATCATTGCTAGTGCTCTCCACCGTCTGCTAGAATTTGAAGCATTCAACGGGCTTTGTGAATCATAGGGAACATTTCCCAGACATGTCTTGCATAAAATTCTCGACCCAGGAGATGATCGAACAGTTAGTGCTAAGGAAGTCCACGTAAAGAAAATTGTCCAGTGGTCAATTCTGTATGGTGAACATAGTGCTAGATTTAGCATGACGCACATGAGTACACAGATTATTTATGGCATGGTATCAATGTTGATAATGTCTGTGTCCGTTGCATGTTGGCGGAGTTTCTAGGAAGTTAGTTTTAAATGTAATTGCTCTAGTTCTCTTCTCTCGATGATTCAACGGGCAAAGCCATTTGAGACATTTCGAACACATCGCATACTCATAGTTTTTCATTGTTCGAAGAAAAGGAAACAATAACTGTGAATATATCATAATTCACAAAAATTGGAATGTCTCTACAGTACATACATTCATTAACTAGGCTCAGTGCGTAGTAACAGGAAAATAGTTTAGCCTGAGCACCAGCAACAGCGCGAGACCGCGATTCACTGCTTGTTAGAGGTTCCGATAACAACGTTTCTATTTAGGTGGTTTTGTGCCGCTGAGGAAGGAGCTGTGAACAACCTGCTCGTTGTCTGGAAATAAAATTTTGACACTCGAACTCTGGCGCTACTCGAGACAGAGCGTGATGGTGATAAGTGACGATGCACACTGTGAACAAATCTAGAGGCGAAATTTTTTGAAGCATGTTCGTAGCATTAGTGTCATTTGGTAAACTATACAGAAATTCCTGTGTTCTGAGGTAAATTGGTTTTGTGTGAATGCTACAAGATTCGGTTAGGTGTCGAAAAAAGGTTGAGTCTTTGCTTATTGGAGCTTTAATCTAGTAAAGATTAAGCATCGCGTTTACAATGTTAACTGAAGGGTATGTCCACTAACTGTCAGTGATTCGCTTACAGTAGCGTTTCTGATATTTAAATTGACTGAGGCGAGGTCAGGATAATTTGTTTAAGACCAGTTCCTTTTTTTTTTTAGAACGATAACCGACACGGTTTAAATTCATATGCACCTGTAGCCTGGCAAAACTCGGAACGGTTGTCCATGTCCAGGAATGATCCAGTCGGCCATGCAAATTATAAGATTCGCGTTTTGACGTTTGATTGCTGAGTCCCAAATATTTTCTTGGTCGAGAATGTCTCTCTAAAAAATGAGAATTTAATTAGGGGTGTTCTTCCTGTCTAAAGCCGTATAGTAGATTTATACACAAGCTTGCCTTTTCATTTAAAAGAGCTTCGCTAGGAATCAGATCACCGACAACAGCCATAGTTCCATAATTGTGGACGTCATGAACAAGAATGGACAGATCCTGCTGAGTATGGCCTGGTGTTTTCCATACTTCGATATGGGGCGAAAGCTTACGATAAGGTCGCTGAAGGGAATTTCTAAGTGATAACAATTTGTAGGAAAAAAAAGACGTTATTAATGCCGACGTTATTTGAAAATCACTCTCAGGAGTCCAGAAAATGAACCAGCAAGATATTTATGATTTGTAGGACATGTATTATCTTTAATAGAAAGTCGTCTTAACTCGTGGAAAGGTCTACATTTTCCTCCACTGTTAATGTATCCCTAACTTCATCAAAGCTGGGAGATTACATGAATCTGTGATTTACCATAGAATTCCCAACAAATACTAAACGTCAAAATACGACCACTGCGCATTTCCCTGCTTTGCTCACAACATGAAATGCTTGTACAATTACAAAAACGTGTATCCAAATGGAATTATTACATTACTATTTGGAAGGTCGTCTCTGAAGAGGAATGGTAGACGTGTTCGTATACGTTTGCAGAACTGTACCGTATTGTACTAATATTGAAATCATGTTACGAGAAAGTTCGACGTTCTACTACATTTGTCAGGATCAACACTTTTAGAACATAAAAACAATGTTGGCGTAGTGTTTGTACTTAGTTTCAAGAAACAGGACACTTCCATTTGCTGATATTGGGGGCGAGATGTCAGTAGGGAATTTACTAATCAACGTCATCTTAACTGGGATACCTAGTTCACTTTTTTCATTATAATGTTCCTTCTAAGATTGTGTCTATTTAAAGCATACGAGGTCTTCACCTGTAGATCCTTGTTTCATTGTCAGAAGAAGGAATGCTACTAGGATTCAGTTATACGAGTGCAATTCGGTTTATGTAATCTCATTCATACTTGTTAGGTAGAGGTACTCACCTCTGTCAGTGCCGTTGGGGTAACGTGTCGTCCAATGTATTCCATTGAGTTGAAGATTATTGGTTTTTGTCCAAAGAAATTCATGTTACCCATATGTCCAGGATGACCATGTGTGATCACAACGGTGTTGATTTGGTCGGCAGTCACCCCTTCCTTTGACAAACCTGAAAAATAGATCTGTATCATACACTATTAAATATTCTCACGACTATTTTCCAAAAAAAGCTGTAGTGTCTCCGATTTTATCTAAAAGTGTAATGTCTGTGTTATAGTAGGATTTCTAAGACGCAGAAGTTTCCTACGCATTACAGGTACAATTATAACGCTCTATAACGGACAAGGAACCGTTTTCGTAGGAAATCTAATCGCTTGATCTAATGAATTTTTTATTTGTTGTATTTTATTTTATTTGATCCGTCTTCACGTTTTCTCTGCGGATCTCAGCATTTATCATGTTCGATTCGTTTTCTCGCATCCACTATCCACGAAGATCTCCCCACTTTTTCGTGTGGCTTCGGTTGCTGCTTGAGGATTTCCATTTCATCTTGAATGTCGTAGAATTCTGGTCGAGAAATTTCCCCTTGGGTCCTCAGATAGCCGGGCTGGAGTGTTTCCAATTGGATTGCAGAGAGTGTTTTTCCCAGACAAGTCCGGTACCAAATTCCCGACCATGGAGGGATGAGAGGCTTCGTTGGCCCGCAGCGAAATCCAACTAGCACTACGCTCGTGATGACGAACATCACTACCACTGTGCTATCCGCCCTTTCGATCCAATGAATTATACTTCCCAAAATGCACTCAAATATTTCAGACATGCTGTTAACTTTTTACATACTGCCTATTACAATTCTTAACGACAGGGTATTATGTGAGATACAACCGGAATGATGCTGAGATATTTGCAAATCTTCAGACCGTAGGTGGCTGTGATGGGAACGTGATGGATACAGCCTTAACGGGTTCAATGGTGAGTGCTGATGGCAGTGGCAGATAGAAAATTAACTGAGACAAAGGCGAGACGAAGGACCCACATGGTGTGGTGGTGAACGCGTCAGCCCCCAGAAAGAACAATAACGCGTTCGATCCTCACCGCAGACACGTGCGGCCCTAAGTTTTGCAGATCATTGTGGTTGAATTTCCAACATGTTTCTTGTTTTCTCAAATGTATCTACTGCATTGCTGTGAATAACCAGGAACTTTTACTTAGAATGGTTGATCTCGGTTTGAAATCGTGAGAAAAGCTTGCTTCTACTGATTTCAACGTGGAGTGTTTCTGATGGAGATTTTAAAGTTGGATGCCCCTAAATAAAAATTGCTGAGAATCAAATCTGGTCGGAAAATTCCATTTTTCTTCTCTTATAGTATTTATACTCAGAAATCAACGTCAGATCTCACTATGAAGAAGTCCTTCCGCATCGCTGGATGCACCAGTGTCGACAAGCACGTGAAATCCGTTGTCGTTGATGAGTGTGATTGCGCCAACGGCTTCTGATTGACCATCCTGAAGAACACTACACCATTGTGCATAAGAGGCATAGATTTCTGTCAATGTTATACCACCATTAACAAGCTATTTCACCTTAAGAGATCGATAGCTACCGGTCTGTAATACGCTGACTCTGACTGCTCTTTGAGGCTCGGTGGTCGTCGTCAGTATTTGGACTTGTGGATAAACCGGTAATATAGTACTACTTGGGCAGAGAGTGGAGGTATTACTAAAATTTGTAAATATCAAAGAAGGTCAGTGTTCATATTTCGACAGTTGGATGATAGAAAAAGACCACCCACTGCTCACTGGTTATGGTTGTTGATGGGACAGTGCTGGCCACTGTAGAGTCTTCTGTTGTAAGAGCTTTGACTTCTGGTGTTACCCGACTGTAACCACCACTTGGCCAGGTACTTCTGAAAGCAACTGGTTAAATAATTGTTAAGTTGAACATAAATATTTCAGACTGATTTAGAGAGATAATCGTAGATATTAAGTGTTTGGAGGGGCGTACGCACCGTCACATGCCAGTCTCATCTTGAAGGATAGCAGCACTGTTTTGAAAAATCGGTAGGTCACCACAATTTATTCTGCGTGCCAAATATGCATTCATTCACCTCAAACGATGCTTGGTAAAGTTGAGTACATTGCACAATCCTCAGGTCTTCTTCGACGTCGCGAACTTTCAAAGCATTTGTTGAACGGCAGACTTTGAATTCTATAGTTCAGTTTAAAAAATTTTCTAACTTTACAAGACCTATCATAATTATTATGCGGATCCCAGCACTTCTAGCGTCTAATTCGTTTCCTTCCCTCCATCTACGAAGGTCTTCGAGATTTTCGTGTAGGTTTATCCCTGTTTGTTGAATATTTTCTCTTCATCACGAATGATCGGGTAAATTCTCTAGAGTCCTAAGATAGCCAAATTTGAGCGTTCCCACTTGGGTTTCAGAAGAAAAACTTTTCTCAAACAACTCTGTTAACAGGTTCTCGATCCCAGAGAAATGAGAGGCTTGGTGAGCTCGGGCGAGGGCGATTTGTGCTGATGGTCATTTATAATATTAGTTAAGGTAACAATCGCTAGAATTATATGAAATTACACCGAAGGAAACAAAGTGAGTAGAGAGAGCAGTGTAGGAGAAAGATATACAATGTGAAGAAAGGCCTAGTAAAGTAAGGAAACCGCGAGATGAGTGGTTTTGATGTCACATACCACTTATACTACGTGCAATGAGAAATCAGAAGACGAACTGCTTGCTACCATGTGAATTTAAGTATCAGCCCTAATGAGTTAAAAGTAACTGTCATTTGTAAAAAATTGTGGAGTTATAGGAAGCAATAGGGATGTCGTAGCTATATGAGCATACCATAGTATTGGTGGGGAAACACGCCTTTTACTTAATGAGCAAACGCGATGTCCCACTTGTAAGATCACGACTCTGAAAGCACGGGCACAGAGTCTTACATGGGTGAGAAATGTTTCTGGCCTGAATCTCGAACGTAAGACCACGGATCCACCACACAAAGCGATATCTTGTCCGTTGGTCGCAAGGCAACATAGCGAGCCCTCAGGTGGAGGATAGTGGGTTGATCGTGGATCAGAAGCAACCCTGTCCTTCCCTGAGAGCGGGTGGATCAAGTGATGTGAAGTGAGATGGACTCACTGCTTCTGTTGCACCGATTTGGTGCATATCTTTTATGCGTGGGACTGTTCTCATTTATGCGGATTGTACTCGGCAAGTCAATTCGACCAAAAGCCAAGCGCTGGGAATATTGTAGAGGCGATCAGGAATCGCTTCCAATAAATAAACTCCTCATCTGCTCTGGAATAGGGTGGCAAGCCACTCGTGAGTATATGTAGCTCTCACGTTCAGAGCTCAGCAAGTTGTAAGTGGTAGTCAAACGCTAAACACAGTAAAATATGTGGACCTGATTCTCTTGAGCTCGAAGGAGCCCCAACACGGCAGGTTTGTGTAGGGTGAGTAAGGAAAGGTTACCAAAATCTTAGGCACTTTTTTAGGGGGCCCAAATTGCGAAAGACTAAGTGACGATCTGTACTTACAATATACACTCACTTCCATATGTATTCTCTACAGATGGCTTGATCACACGTGCAAGAAGGATAAGGTTCAACGTTATCGCAGTGGTTGAGACGAAAAAGTGCCGCCAATTCAACGCCGTCTATAACACCGAAGAAGAACTGTTCCTCGGAAAAGCAAAAGAAGAGGAGTCGGTATCGTCGCTATTCTCGACAATACGAGTTTGGCCATGAGAGTCGATTCATTCGAGCGACTAATACACCCAATCGGACGTTTGCGTTGGAGAAATGTGGATCAATACCGGCTTTGGCTGTCTGTCCGTAGTGTGAGCCTTTTATTTACTACTTACTATAGATCTTCACAGCAAAGTATTGCATGAAATGCAACTGCAATGGTGCTGAGATATTCTATAACCTACCTTCTAGAATCTTCGTCGTCTACGGACCTACACCAAGTTACGACGAAAACAAAGTCGAACTGCTCTCTGTGGACTTGGAGAAGCTCTACAGAGAAGAACATACATACTTTAAGATCACCTTTCGAGATTTTAACGTTGAGTGGAACAGCTAAAACGTCTAAAGAACATCAACATCACAACACACGTATTAGAATGGAACGAGCAGGGCAAACGGCTCTCCGAGTTTACCATGACGAGCAAGACCCTTCACGGTAGCTTGCAATTCGAGAACTCCCACCTTCAACGCTGGACGTGAGAGTCTTCCAATGGAGAGTACCATAACGAAATAAGCCGCATCATAGTAAATAGATGGTTCTGCCTAACCTATGTCGCTGTTCTCTAAAAATTCTACACGGGACGAGGAGCATCGCTTTATTCGTGTAACATTCCATTTTTCACCAAAAAGAGAAAAAGCCGCTAAATTCAAAAAGCGAAACCGTAAAGTCACCATAAGCTGGGACTTGTTCAGTTCATTACTAGGCTTTTGGGAAGATGCCGTTTTTGATAACATCGATGAAGAACACAATTTGCTGGTTCAACATCTTCACCCTAGTGCTACGAAAGCTGAGAGTTCGAAAGTCTCCAATAGTGGTATCAAAGTTGGTAAGCACTTGTTCCGCCTGACGATTGGCTGCCGACTCCATGCGATTCTTAGACACTTTTGAGCTTTATGCATTGGTCTTCAATTAAAGCTCGCAAAAACGATGTTAACGAGGAACACATTGGTTTTGTGCGCCCCATTCACGTTCCATGGAACGAATATCTGCTAATCCTGCAGCGACGTCTTTCTACGTTGGAAATCAACATGACAAACGACTCGCTTTTATGTTGAGCAGAAGAAAGGGAGTAACTTGGGGAGCTTTCAAGAGCATGGAGGATGTAGTAAAGCGAAGAAGGACACCCGACTCCGTGCTCACTTTTCACTCTAAAATTTTTATTTTCTTGAAATATCCATCAGAAGCCTGGTCGCTGCGTGAGCAGGATGAAAAAAGAAAGATGAAAGAGTTATCGAACCCGCAATTGAAAGGACTGTGCTAGGTGTATCCTTTAGTGAAGGAGTCGATCCGAAGCTCCGACCAACGGCAACTATCAAAAATCAAAGACGTAGTTCTGTCCGCCAAACTGTCGAAGATAAAGTGGACGGAGGCGCAGTGAGCATGGAGAACAACCGATGGGCATGAACCATTAGTGACTGAAGTCCTCGGGATGTCAAACGTACTATCCACCGACCCCACAGTCACAGTTCTTCATGGAAATCCTGGAACAAAAATATAATACTCAACGAGCTTTTGGAGTGGGTAGAACCCACTCAGGTGCTGCTACATGCGACAGAGAGAAATGGAAGATTTACTGACCTTTGCTCGAATTACTCGAACTGTTAACGGGAGATAAAGGTAAATGATTAAGAAGAGTAGTAATTGTGGCACGTATAGTTCAATACGGTGAATACTACTACTGGTTTGAACAACGATGACTTTTCAACCCTCTTTTCGTTGCCAGATTCCGATATAAAGCAAATAAGACGCAATTATTCAAGCGGCTGTCTGCAATATATATAGCTCTGATCGGTTAAAAAGCAATTTTGTAGACAAATCTGTAAATATGTGTATATGTGTATCTGTATAAAGGATAGACGATAAAGCTCTCGGCGTTGATCAATCCCTGAGGGATGCCCCATGCATTCGACTTCATTAATCATCGTTTGGAGGTTATTGAATGCATATCTGGCCTTCACAATGACTCGCGGTGGCCTACCAATGTATCGCGCCAGTTCCTGCCATTCTCCCAGACAAGTCTGCTACCAATTTGCCTACCCCGGCGGGATGGAGGGCTTGGTGAGCCATGGGCACGTGGATCGATTCCACGTGTGTGTTGCAAGGCGCCTCCGACCACTACTCCACATGCGTCCTTATATATGTATATCTGTATAAATATCTGTAATATCTATAAAAGTGCTACATTTTCTTCTAGCATACCCGTTTTTGATGTACCATGGTGCTTTCTTAACAGTGGTGCGTACATTCCACTTCGGCGGCGCCGTTGGTGTTATTTTATTCCAGGTGAAAGGCGAACGTATCGAACTTGCCTGAACTTAAAAGAACGACATTGTTTTGCGTTATCTTTGTGGAAATAAAAAACGAAATCAAACAGGAAAGTAATGGCGAAATCGAAAACCGTTTGCGGGGAACTAATGCACCATTCTCATGTCTTACTTTGCTAGTCGAGCGCGTTTGGGTGTTTTTTTATAAGCGTTGTTTCTGCAAAGCTTTACACTGACTTTTCGCTGATCGTAGTAGATGGCTTACCTACTGGAGGGCGATTCGGCTGAGGCTTCAGGCGTTTATCGTGGCAACAAATTGATCTGCCGAGCACAAATGATTGATCGCAGAGATATCCAACGGGGCAATCGGCTATGATTGACGGTCGGCAAAACGCGTATTCCTTGTCGTACATCAACGGCTCTCCCGAAAAGGGACACACTGAAATGTGCGGGTCGCGTAATACACTTTTACTCGCTGTATACAACAAAGTTCTCCTATTCACTCATGTTGCAAAACGTAGTGAACGAAAAGTGCAGATAAACGAAAATATTAAGGCGGCTGGGATCTTGATGTGAAAGAACTTTTTTTGGTTTATGAAAATTGGTGGATAATATGTTGAGGTGCTAAAAACACATGTTTGGTAGACGGAATTCCGCTTTTTGTTGTACAGATTCTAGCAGTATCAAAGGAATTACATCCATTTCTGTATTTCACTGGCTCTATTTCATTTCCTTGTTTTGAATTTTCCTTGAAACAGTATTCACTAGCCCAAGCTTCTTGAAAAGTTAACGGGTCTCTTTCAAACACGGGAACCTAGACGCATTACCCTTGTTTTGGAAGGCGTGTTCAGCTATGGGTGTAACTTGTAAGGGACAAGCACAGCCACAAATATTCCACTTTTTTCGCCATTGAAGTGCACATTACCGTTCTTCCCCACTAATCCGTCTTTCGTCTTTCGATAAATATCATTAAATTTCTAACCTATCGCTTTATATGCTCCTTTGTACGTTTTGGGTTAGATGCATGCTTTGCTGAACGACGTATACAAAGCTTTTGCCGTAGGCTCTCTGAACTGCAGAGTTCATCTTGATGTTGTGCTTATTGGACCAAAAGACTACTTAGGCAAAGCGTTGGTGAATGAGTTATCAGGCTGCATTTCTACTTCATTAAGGACTAATAAAACCGTCGATTTGCATAGAACATTTATGTTTGGGTATGTTAGCTGACGAAAGGCTTTTTTGAGAAATCCACTTGTTTACAGTGACAGATTTCGAACAAATTCTGTGTTGCAACAACCTTCTAGTTCTAGTTCATTCAAGAGTCTGGGCGTGACGGTAAGCATTTCATTTGAACACCAAGTTTAGCAGAAACCTCATGGAGCATACTCCACAGGTAATTTGTGCGTTAGTTAAGAGAACCATTACTGGATTCCTTGTTTAGAACAATGACCACTCCTGTTTCTCATACTTAAATAATAATGAATAAGCAAGTAGTAAATACCACTAGCAATGATAATAAATATATTGCTGGTATAGAAATAGTGACAAATTTTTTCACCACAGTCTTCACAAGGGGGGCGTGCAACGCAGTGGTTAGTGGTGTCCTCCAATAAAATGTTACATGGGCACTAGATCGATTCCATATCCACGGCTAGCGTTCCAGCATCCTTGTTCGCTGGAGTTAGGCTGTTAGGATTGAAACACTGACTTGATGCATGGGTAGTCCACCGTAAGTCATTTTATAGATTAAATTATGCATTCGGTCATCTTTAGTATGCCATGAATGGAGTTGAATGCATAGCGCATCGGTCAGAGATTGATAAACGATGAAACCTCGATCCTTATATCTTTTTATTTTTCAAATTCCACGTTTCGTAATGCATGTTCATCGCTTTCATTGGTGCTGTATATGCCACTTCCACTTCTTTCTAAAACTTAAAAAATCTTTGATTGGTCGAAATTATGCTTTCAAGGCAAGAAGATTGCGTGGTTTTGCTTCATGAGTTCGAATTTGAAAGTACTCCAAATGTTAGCAACTTGAGGTAGCAGTAAAGCATGCGCTAAGGAACTATTTTCCAGTAAGCACTGCGCAAATACTTGTAAGAGCTTCGTGCCAGAGGTGCGAGGCTTCATGTGTAGAAAAGTCTTGTGTGCCCATAAACAGTTAAATACAATAGCGTGAAAGAAGTAATCCTCTTAAAACACGAAACGTTTGAAAGGCTTTTCTTCACCAAGTAGGTATTGAGGAAGCGAAAAACACCAGTGAAATCCTCCTACCCGAAATGAATGAGTAACACAGAGATCGCCGTGCACAAACCTAGTGTGTGTTTCTTTAAGCAAAAAACGAATGATTTCGCGATAACGTCATGACATAGGGTCAAAATAGGACAATATACATGCAAAACCACACCATTAAAGAGGTGTGTGGATCCAAATGAAGTTTCTAAACACTTCGCCAAGCTAGATATTCACGAAAGGAAGGTCATGGAGTAGTCGAAATATGGACTATTTTACTGTAACTGCAAGAGTCCTGATGAAACCATCGGTATTAGGTGTTATCAGGAATTCGCCCAGAGTCGTCAGTAATTGGAAAGCTTTAGCCTGCATTTACTAACGAGTTCCACTGAGAAACGATGTATAACCACACTTTACATAAATAACGTTACTAGAAAATGAACGAACTGGCCTATGAAACTCATGATTGCTCAGCGTATTTATCGAGCCTCTTGGCAATCACGAATTCAGGCTAATGAACTCTTTCTACTTCTAGTTTCAAAGAGGAGAGAAGTAACTCTAAACGCTGACACGCCGCCGCTGAAAATGCCTTCGGAAATATTTTTTGAAACCGAGTAAGGATAGATCATCAGTGCGGTGTTCTACTCGAACTGGATTCGAACCGGTGCCACCGCGAACACATCGCAGGGAGGACACTGCTACATCGGAATCGAGTCAGTGTAACTTTGAATAAAGCGGATGCTTGGAAGCTTTAACCAAAGTAATAATTACATAACAATCTCTGTGAGCTCATTATTTCAATAAAGCACCTTTAGAGAAATTATCGTTTCTAGACCTTCAGCATTCTAAGCTAGGGGACTAAACAAATTTGAACACTTCTTCTTTCGAGCGATAAACTGAGTTACAGCATTTAAAAGTTTTCGAGTGTTCACCATAAGATAAAAGCATAATAATTTTTCTTGGGTAATCCAGCGTCAAATAATCTGCGCATCCTAGGGTTTATTAAAATGGAGTCATATCATCGAATCCACCTCTGACTAAAGCGTTTTGATTTCGCCAAAAAGTAAAATAAAACGAAACATATTGGTATATAGTAAAATTAGAGTCGTGCATAGGCATTAATAAAATTTCTTCTAGAAGAGTGGGTATCCAGCTCTGAGGAGAACTTCAAATGGGACGTGAACGCGGCGGCACACATGCTAGTGCCATTATATTTCCTTCATTGTTTAAGTCACTAGTTATCGAACTTCTTCCACTAACTCCGACAACCATCCATTCTGTATTTAACACATCTATCGTTGATAACACAGCGCCAATATGTTTCACCTTTCTGTCATATACAATACACATCGATTAGAAAACCATCGGCATAGAGAACTACACTCGCACTAGATGTCCAAGAGAAGTGTTCAAATTGCAAGGTGCTAATCGTGCACTATAGCTTGCCCAAATGCGGAAGCCGTGAAGCGTAGTAGGTGGCGCTCGTAAGGGTCAAACAGTCTAGCTAAACATACATAGCCGGCTTCTGTGCAGCATTATCACGCTCTCAGCGACATCAAAGCAAATCTTCTCCGGGAATTGAGCGAAAGCAGTGGGAACTGAAGGAATAAATCTCAGCTAACGTACTTTTGGTGTGTTTCAAATGATGATAATGTGCCTCACAAGTCCACATTTCCTATCGCATCTATGTAAAGTATTCGCAAATATAAATTGAAAGGCTCAACTACAGTAAAATGTCTTAGTTTAGTGGCGTTCGAATAATGAGAGTTAAAAGTCTGAGTTGCGAAGATATTGCCTTACTTCCCATTCTTTTCAACGCTTAGTCATTGCTTAAGGTCATTCGCTACTTTTCTGCTTTTTTAGTTCAAAGTTCAGGTTCTCACACAGTCATCGAATAGCGGCCAGCCAACGGATCTTGGGTTTCACTGCAGCCACAAGAATGATGGTCGTTTTCGAAAAAGCGGAGTCACAAGCCGGCAAATTCTCTTCGTTCTGTGAAGACCGGCCCGTGATGACGATCTGAGAACGGTTTGGCACGGCCTTTAATCGGGAGAAAAGTTGACAAATATTCCAACTGCAAGCGAATCGATCAGACCCGAAGCACAATCAGACCACCTCTGCGGTTGATCACTGTAAAGCAATGAAACAAAGGGGAGAGGTGTTAGAATCAGTATGGCATTTGAGGGCGAGTCTCAATATATATATATATATATATATATATATATATGTAGAATATATGTGTGCATCCATTTTTTGCGACTAAATGAACCTTTGAAAAATCTTTTTTTGCAAATATTTTAGTATCCTATTTTTTTGAGCTTAACTAAATGCTTATCTTCTTTGTAGAGAAGTTAAATTTCAGCAAATTCCATATTGCTGCAGATTCATGCAATTCATAAGACTTATGGTTCACTGATATTTACTAAGATTTAAGCAATGGCCTGGCGATTTGTTTGTCTCCATAACACCTGCCAGGATCCTTTTGCTATTACGAGGTGTTTCATCTAATTAAAGAGGTAGACTCTGAAAAACATTGCCATCGGCTTTTAGGGGGTTACGGTGGTCTTTACATATGAGCAAGGAGCCTTCATCTGCAAAAAAGGAGTTTTGATGACCTGTGCAGCCGCCAACGAGTTCCAGATATGCCAAGCACGTAAATTGGCGTTCTTGAGGGGTTCAACGTTACATAACTCAAAGGTAGTGAAGAATACTGAATACGCACAGGTAGAGAAAGGTCGAGTTTGTATTTTCAACGGTTTTATATCCAGATGATCCAGAAACCTTCGGTTAAGCTCACGGCTTTACAATATTTGTTCTAATTAGGTGTAGAGATGACGCATCAAGACGCATCAACTGAACGTTTGACTTCAAGAAATATATTAGTTACGAAGGTTAAAAACATAGGTAAGTTGTAATCAGCAACGAACATTTATGAGGTGGCAATGGTCACCTTTATTAGTTTAGCAGACCTGAGGTCAGATATTGCGCGGAAATTTCAAGAGGTCTAGGAAGGAAATCGCCTTGCGCCGACGTTGATCGAAAACGTAAACAGATGGTACGGGCGAATGGACGAGTACGTCGTTGAAATTATGAACAAAGAGTGTTCGAACGAGAAAAACTTACGGTGCAAATAGGAAGTTTTGGGATAACGATCCGGCTTCACGCGGCCCTTCGCCCT